TATTTTTACACTTTATTAACTTTTATTTTATTTGAATTCGGCCAGCAGGGGGACTACCTGTCATTACAGGCAGCCCCCCCTGCTGGCAATACAGCAGGCAGCTAACCCAGCCATGTAATTGTGAGGTCCTCGCAAGGACCTCACTCTCACATGGCCGAGGGGGCTGCAGGATGGAGGATCTGCCGCGGGGGGCTCCCTGGGAGTCCCCCCAACCGCGATCGACGGCGTGGGATCGCCGGCGACTGGGTAAGTTAAAAAAAAAACGGAGGGCGTACTATTACGCCCAGCGGCGTTTAGAGCCGCCTAAAATAGGACGTAATAGTACGCCCTCCGGCGTTAAGGGGTTAAATAACACAATGTAACGCCAAGTCAATCACACTTCTGTGAAATCAAACTGTCCACTTAGGAAGCAACACTGAGTGACAATCAATTTCACATGCAGTTGTGCAAATGGGATAGACAACAGGTGGAAATTATAGGCAATTAGCAAGACACCCCCAATAAAGGAGTGGTTCTGCAGGTGGTGACCACAGACCACTTCTCAGTTCTTTTGCTTCCTGGCTGATGTTTTGGTCACTTTTGAATGTTGGTGGTAGCATGAGACGGAGTCTACAACCCACACAAGTGGCTCAGGTAGTGCAGCTCATCCAGGATGGCACATCAATGCGAGCTGTGGCAAGAAGGTTTGCTGTGCTTGTCAGCGTAGTGTCCAGAGCATGGAGGCGCTACCAGGAGACAGGCCAGTACATCAGGAGACGTGGAGGAGGCCGTAGGAGGGCAACAACCCAGGAGCAGGACCACTACCTCCGCCTTTGTGCAAGGAGGAACAGGAGGAGCACTGCCAGACCTGCAAAATGACCTCCAGCAGGCCACAAATGTGCGTGTGTCTGCTCAAACGGTCAGAAACAGACTCCATGAGGGTGGTATGAGGGCCCGACGTCCACAGGTGGGGGTTGTGCTTACAGCCCAACACCATGCAGGACGTATGGCATTTGCCACTGGCGCCCTGTGATCTTCACAGGTGAAAGCAGGTTCACACTGAGCACATGTGTCAGACGTGACAGAGTCTGGAGACGCCGTGGAGAACGTTCTGCTGCCTGCAACATCCTCCAGCATGACGGTTTGGCAGTGGGTCAGCAATGGTGTGGAGTGGCATTTCTTTGGGGGGGCTCATGTGCTCGCCAGAGGTAACCTGACTGCCATTAGGTACCGAGATGAGATCGTCAGACCCATTGTGAGACTATATGCTGGTGCGGTTGACCCTGGGTTCCTTCTAATGCAAGACAATGCTAGACCTCCTGTGGCTGGAGTGTGTCAGCAGTTCCTGCAAGACGAAGGCATTGATGCTATGGACTGGCCCGCCCGTTCGCCAGACCTGAATCCAATTGAGCACAGATGGGACATCATGTCTCGCTCCATCCACCAACATCACGTTGCACCACAGACTGTCCAGGAGTTGGCAGATGCTTTAGTCCAGGTCTGGGAGGAGATCCCTCAGGAGACCATCCGCCACCTCATCAGGAGCATGCACAGGCGTTGTAGGGAGGTCATACAGGCACGTGGAGGCCACACACACTACTGAGCCTCATTTTGACTTGTTTTAAGGACATTACATCAAAGTTGGATCAGCCTGTAGTGTGTTTTTTTCACTTTAACTTTGAGTGTGTCTCCAAATCCAGACCTCCATGGGTTGAAAAATTTGATTTCCATTTTTTAATTTTTGTGTGATTTTGTTGTCAGCACATTCAACTATGTAAAGAACAAAGTATTTCAGAATAATATTTAATTCATTCAGATCTAGGATGTGTTACTTTTGTGTTCCCTTTATTTTTTTGAGCAGTGTATAACTAAAAATGAATGTGAATTGAGGGGGAAAACAGATTAATTTAAAAGCAAAACCTGTAAAATGACTTACTTTAACCCCTTAAGGACACATGACATGTGTGACATGTCATCATTCCCATTTATTCCAGAAGTTTTGGTCCTTAAGGGGCTAAAGAACATTGGCAACATAACCGCTACACTGAGGTGTAACAATCCTCTAAATTGTAATAGTAGACAGTCCAGGGATTGATTCTGTGGTTTTCCATATCCGGATATAATAACGCTATGAGAAGCCTCTGATTGCACCATTTTGCCAAGTCAGCGTGCATGCACTCAGTCTGAGCTGGTGAGGGGAGAAGGCGATTTGGAGGGTTGATTTAACACACACACAAATAAAGACCATTTACAATTTGTGGAGGAAGCACACAGTGGAAGGGGGAGGCAATCAAGGGGAGGATTATTACTTCTGTTGGCAGTGTGCAATTTTATTTATGTAATACACTGTGTATTTGGTAGATTCACTTTAAAGGGTTACGCCAACTAATGTGAAGTGGTCATGGTGCTTGGATTCTGAATGCGCATCATTTTGCTATAAAATTCTGCACGCGCAGTGTTTAAGCCCCCTACTCTTGGAGGTGTAACTCCGACTCTGGCAGTATATGTGGGTTGTCATTCACCAGCCTTGAACAAAATCTCCGGGGAGGCTGATATCTGTTCTGTGCATGTTTGGTGTCTGCTGTCAACACGTACAGCATGCTGGCGACAGACAGCCTGTGTCAGCTCCTCAATGACCCTTACCATCTGTGCCGCCCATCAACCCCCTCAGCCCGCTCTCCCTGACATTCAACCCCTCGAGCAAGCAGTAGTGATTTTAGGGTAGTAGCATTGGGCTGAGGGAAAACTTGGCCTTGACACTGTAATGGAGGTGAGTTTTAGCTATCTTATTTTCTTGGGATGGAGCAGAATAAGAAGGGTTACTCTGACCAGAAACAGTGGTTTTTTTTTGGTTTGAGTAACCCTTTTATACAGAACAGACAAATAAATACACAACACCAGAAACCTGCCTGTAAGACAAAATAATAAAAATGTAAACAACATGTTGTAAATCAGGTGAACTCCTGGTATAAAAATCTATTTTTAAAACGCCTAATCATCATTTCCTAATTTCCGTATTCTCCGCTGGTAGGACCTCGCGTTTGAGCCCCTTAGACAGACGTCTGAACTTGTGCGGTAAGTGTTTCTATGTTATTGTTTTTACACGCATGATGTGTGAGTGTCGTATTATACCGAGCATGAAAAAAGAATAGAGAGGGAAGATATAATTAATGCCTGTGCATACCTCCTAGATGGGGGATAACCCCAGTGGTAGAATAACGAACAAAAAAGAAGGAAGGAGCGGAGGATGCAATGTCGGTATAGCAAAAATGGAATGCCGAAATAAAACATAACTTTTAATAGAAGTACTATTAAAGTACAAAACTAACAGTACTATACACATATATACAAAACATAACATTTAAAATAGCAGAGGCTGGTCCACAATGACGGTTGGATGGTAAGTACCCCTAAAAAAAGGGGGTTAATGCAGAACTCTCAATGATATGTCAACTGACCGTTTGGTAACAGGATGTCAACTGATACAAGATTGTTAATAAATACTCACTGAGTAGTAAACAATAATAGCTCTGACTGTGCTTTGGCATCCATGTATTTCAGTAACTTCAAGCATGTAGCCAAACAGTATAACAAAAGTAGCTGGCAGCTTCTGTGGTTTAGAAAAGTATAAATACCTGTTTAGTAGAATATCTAACGCTGGAGGTAAAAACTGAAAATACCTCCTGCCGTTATATCAGGTATAGGACAGGGTAGAATGGAGAGAGGGAAAGGGATCAAAGATATTACTGTCCTTATTGTGCCTTCGAGGGCACCCCTCACCCCTAAAAATGACCCTAGCTTTAAATGCAATATAAGCCACCCGCTCTATAAATGAAATAGAATTCAAAATAAAAGTAATAAAGAAAATTAATGTAGTTAAAGATGCCAAAAATCGGAACCAATTGAAATAGTTGTTCCTATAAGCCAGAGATTGCTGCAAACTAATATTGTGGACACAGCAATGCCCCAAAGCCCCTGACGCACGTTTCGATGGATCAGCTCATCAGAGCTAGGAACAACTATTTCAATTGGTTCCGATTTTTGGCATGTGGACCAGCCTCTGCTATTTTAAATTGTATGTTTTGTATATATGTGTATAGTACTATTAGTTTTGTGTTGTAGTTGGTCTCTTCTGTCCTATGAGACTTTTTAGTGACAAACACTTTGATTAAAAGTTATGTTTTATTTCAGCAATATTTTTCTTAAGTATTCCATTTTTGCTATACCAGACATTGCATCCTCCGCTCCTTCCTTCTTTTTTGTTCTGTATTATACAGAGCAGTTTAATAACAACCTTGATCACTATTCCATTTTCATAGTATAGAAAGTATAGTGGCCACTCGTGTCTGGTCCTGCGGCTGCCCTGACCCACATGTCAAGAATATCGCGCAGATATATTAAAAAAAAATTGAAGAAAATGTGGAATAAGTAGATAAAGTGATATTGCAGGAGGTTCTTTTTAAAAAGATGAAACCTAGGATTTAGACAATTTATTTCTGCACCTTACTGCGTGGTAATGGATTTCAATTTTTACAACCTGTGAACAAAGGGACCAAGTGCTTGTATCCAACATGTGCACACATTGCTCTTCTTCGTAATCCTCTGTCATCAGGCCTCATCCGTTAGTATTTCAGTTATTCTGCACCCCTGACAGCTCCCAGCCTTTCCTCTATTCATGCAATTATTGTATCTCTCACATGTTTTTGTTAATATTCATTTCAAATCTTGTTTCATACCATAGAGCTGGATTCACTCTGCACAGATGGCAAGGATAGTCACATACACGGTGCAGTCATAAAGCAAGATTATCATGTAAACTGCTCAGATAGACTTACCATAGCACACTGTACATGAAATATAATTGTTTTATATGCTGCTTATATACCGACTCTGCATATACAGAGTGTCCCAAATTAATGTTTACACTTTTTAAATGTTAATTACTAGAACATAAACATAAAAATAACAGGAAGCGTGAACTTTTGTTATCATGTACCTTAAAGTTAAAGGTGTTCAAAATGGCCGCCATTGGCAGCACTATAATGTGGGACAGATTGACAAACATTAGATATTGTTTCCTTGGGAATGGAATCACAGTCACAATCGTGTCTCTCAAGGCATCAAGCGTCTCTGGCTTTGTGGCGAACACAGTGTTCTTCATATTCCCCACAGGTAGAAATCTAACGGTGTTAAAACAGTGGCGCAGTATCGAATTCTGACCTCTGTCATCTCGCACCTCAATCATGTCCTCACATTTACAAAAACACCTAAAAATCCACTTACGTTGCTCGAAAGAAAACTTGTTTACTTCTGCCATTTTGTCTAGTACACTAATGCCCTTCGCAGGAAGCTAAAAACAGCAGAATAACTACATGCACTCGCACACACCCAGCGTAGTCATTACAGCGCCAAATACAACCATTCCAAACACGTTATAGTTAACTTTTAAATAGTGTAAGTATTATTTTGAGACCCTGTATATTGCTCACAAGCAGTGAACATTCTAACCCACACATACACTGCACTCTGTAGCACTATAGATTATCCATGATATACACAGCACTGTGCATACACCATATGTGCTGATAGATGGCAGATTAAAGGCAGTTGTGATGTCATTTTATGTCTTACCTTGGGACATACCGTCACCGCTCACATAAGACTGTATGCCTTGGAAACTGCATGCCATCGGTGAGCTTCTTTATTACGCTCACAATTCCAGTCACAGCAGTTAGATTTCTTTACCCAAACTATATACCAGCATCATTTGTCCACCCCTCACTTTCACCTGCTTTAATTCTCTCCCCCATGATGGGCCTAACCCTTATATGACTTCTTCTATGTCGTGCCTCCATTTCATTTCTCTTATTACAATCTCCCCATTTTATCACTTGTATATCACATATTCCCTCCTCTTCATATCACATGCCTTATTACATAACTCACCATTATAACTTTTCCTTGATCTCACTCCATGCATATCTCAATTTCTACCATCATGTTGCAACTCCGCTGACATTTATATAAATTTTGGCTTCGTTAAAGCCCCTCATTTTACCTCACTTCAGTCATAGTTTAACTTTTATGATTTGTAGCCTCATCTTTCATATTACATCCCCTCGATCTTGTTGCTTATTGTATGTCCTTCATTTCCCTGCTTTTCAATTTCCATCCTAGCCTTGTGGTTATGTGTTGTGTGGGTGCAGTGTGGGGTCCCCTCTTGGCAGACTTGTTACTGGTATACGGAGCACGGCTAAGTGAGTCTGTAGGGAGACTTATTGATATGATTACTAAGACACAATATCTGGTGATTTACACAATGCCTGAATCTGTGGGAGGGCTTCTCAGACCTGAATATAATCTCAAGCTGTACCTAGAGGCGCATTATTCTGCAATGCTAATTTATTTTGTAATAAATATCATTCCACAAATTGTGCATCTCTCCATCTCCCACTTTACCCAAATGCAGGGGTAGACAACCTTTTAGTAGGATTGTGCCAAAACAAGACCTTGAAGTCCCTTGGCGTGCCGGTCCTATTTTATGTAAAATTGAGGTGTGTACGGTGCCGTATAGCACTTGCGCTATTTATGGGTGCTACAGTGGCTTTGTAACATTGTATTTGTGGGTATGTGGGTTGTATATTGTGTATGTTCATTAGTAGATTGTGGTATTGTGTATGATTCCTATGAATAGGGGCTGCTTGTGGAGTATATTTGGAATATATGTAACATAGTGTGTTTGGTGGTTTCTGTATGTGTGTGGCTGCTTGTAGTATTGCATGTGAGTGGTTTCTTGTCGGGTTGTGTGCGTGTATGTGGATTGTCAGTTGTATTGTGCTTGTGGGGACTGTGTGTGGACTGTTTATATTGTATGAGCGGGAGGCTTTCTTTTGCAGCTCTGTGTATAGCTAGCAGTGTGGGTGGCTTCTCTGGGGTCCAATGGGGACCCGGCTGGCCAGGTACAGGTAAAGGGCAGGAGTTACAATACCTGCTGTGGGCTGCTCTACTCCAGTCGGATTTCCATCCACAAGTGCTGGGAGGAGGTAATCTGAGATGCTGTAATGTGTTAATTGAGGACTGCCCCTCACTACCTGCAATCTCCACTCAAATTGGACTAGCAGATTTCTGAAGTTCCACTGGAACTCCTGATAGGCCAGAACATGTTTGTCTCTGGCAGGCTCGAGTGCAATACAAAAGCACCTCAAGTGTCATGCATGGCCCACGTGCCTTAGGTTGCTGACCCCTGCCCTAATGCATTGAGGGAGGAGCCTTCACATGGGAAATGTACCAGAATTTCTAATATTATGCCACTTATTCCAATATAGAACAAATATGAATTTGTGAGAGTTGTAAAAAATAAAATTAAATGTTGACATTGTTATCCTGTAACTGGGTGCTGTAGATACTAATATCCATTTCACTATCTATCCTAGCTGTTCATATAAGGGTTAATGTGAACCAAGAATAAATTTGGAATTGTATCTCCGATTCTCGGAAATAAATTTATCTAAAATCCTAGTTACGAGAATGACCATACTGATTTTGAAATGTTCTCGTTAATTGTCCAAGATTTTGGTATTTGTAAATATCTGTTTTTTTATCAAATATGCATGTGTTATATAACGTAGGATAACGAGAAACAGCTGCTCATAACTTGTGTAAAACAATCTATGTCATTGTCATCATTGTCACGCCCATATGCTCATTTTTCCCCCTCCCATCCTGTAATGAAAATGGGGTATAAATATAACTGACGTATAATAAAATTTTAATTGGTTATTGAACACATCTCTGCTATTCATTTACAACTTCCAGAGCTCTGAATGAGTTGGCAAATATCCATCATCCACAAAGGGCCCAGGCTGATTTTATCCCCAACAGGTACCTCCATTTTAGCTCCCCAATAGTCATTGTTATAAGATCTGTATTTTGTTCCTGGCAGTCAGGGGAAGCATACAAATATAAAGAGAAATTTAAACACGGTTTCTAACTCTCCTCTCCACTTGGCTTTGCCTTGCCTTGCCTTGCCAGTTGCCTTGCCTTGGCTTTGCCTTGCCTTGCCAGTTCGGATTATGATGTCATTTGATACAATTTTCATATTTATTTCACAGAAAACAGAGTATCACATGAAAAAGGGTTACCACAAATTCTGGGGGATTTTCAAGGTTTTTTTGATTAGTTTATTTTCCAGAGAAGGGACAGTTCCCCCTTGGGTTTATTGCCGTGTCATTGTAACCGAAGACCTGATACACCGTGATTTGTTATAATGAATCTCACCATTTATTATCTCTATGCTGTAAGCTATGGCCACATATATAATCCAGATCACCAGCTGGTAAATCTACTTTCATTAAACGAGGGACATAGATGTCAGGTTTTCACAGTAGTAGAACTGATCATGTTTCTAACATGTTATCAACAATTAATCTGTAGGAGTTGGTCTACATTCATGAAAATAAAAATGTTTTAAAGTAAGATTTTCGGTAAATTTTTATCCTTTGAAAATCTGTGTTTATTTTTTCTCTCTGCAGCTGCAGTAATTATATCAGGTAAAGTATCATTAGATTTGTGTCTTGATGTGCCTTATGAGACAAACCCGGTATGACTTATTCCGTCCTGACCTCCCTCCGTAATGCTCTCTACTCTGGCAGTTATAAGGATGTTCGTTATTTCAGTTTGATAGAGATGCGATTAATGCTTTCAAATACAAAGAGCCTTAAAACCAATCATGTGTCAGGATTTTTACACACCCAGGTCATGGTTTGTTCATTAAAGGAACATGCTAGACCGCTAGAGCACACTGGCTTGCTGCAGTTCTTTATGTTTGAAGTGTCCCCTTTTATTTTTTTTATTCTTTTCATTTTATAAATAAATAGAAATAATTATAATAGAAATCTGCATTTTTAGGAATTAACCTTGTTATTCCTCCCTGGTTGTCAAGTAGACAACAGGTCCTGTTATTTCCTGGTTTGGTTAGCTCAGTGGAACTAAACCCAAGAGGCAGCAATTGCCCAGAGCACCTGCCTTGCAAAGACTTCTCATTGAGCTGCATTGGGAAGTCTGTGATTGGACAGCCACAGAAAGTCTGGGCGGGGTTAGAAGGGGAGGGCTGGCAAAGGCAGAAGACAAGATCTACAGATTTTGCAATGTGTGGTTAGAAATACCCCAATGAAAACATTTGTAGTTAAATGTTAACATTGGGATATGTCTACTCAATAGTGATGTTTGTTTTTGTTGTATATGGGGCGTGGCAGTGGATTGCCTCCATTTTCTCCACCTTAGTGGTAGAACTATAGCTTTTTCTTGCCTATGTTGGCACTGAACCTACTTACTCAGCTCTCCCTACCTGGTACAGTGATTGAGACCACCACCTCCTCCAGTTTTTTCTGCCATGCTAAATAATACAAAGTTCACAGCTACTTGTCCTGTCTTCACGATCAGTCATCCTGTCATTTTGCTAAATATTATGATTAAAACTTGGGTACAAAGAGAATTGGCGTGCTGCTGGCCCTTAACCGTGGATGATTTCTCTGACCATGCAAAGCACTATGGTGGAAAAGAGGCTTCTCACTATATAGTAATGGGAGAAAACGTCTTGTCTCCTTCGTCTTTAGTATTACCAGTGAAGAGTAAAGACAAGAGATCTCTACCCTCAGTAGCTCCCTGCATAGTATATGGGCCAAATGGTCTTAAGATAATAAATCACACTATTGTCATAAAGTGATTCTTTCCTGCTTTCCAGAAGGACCTAACCTGTTGTAAATCAGGCTGCAAAATGTTATAATATTGCCCCGATATTTTATTTTACATACAGTGCCGTGAAAACAAAAATAATGAGTCTGATATTCTGCACATACTTTCACTTTGAATTTGATCAGATCATTTTATGGATTGTAGATCCATTGGCAGAGATTTTGAGAGAAAAATGGCACTCAAATGTGGTGCTGGTTTATTGTATTTCAGAGTCAAGAATTGAATGATTTACACAGAAGGATATATTTCGCTTTTTCTAGACCTCAGAAGGAACCCTGCTGGGAATCAGATCTGCAATGTAGAGAACATTGACTGGAGCTTAATCAATGAGTTATCTCATACACTAATAAAAATGATTATTAGTGTCTTGAATACCCTAGCAGTTTTTGGACCTGGCACTTTGCCGTTTTCATTTTTTTAAATCAAGATCTCTAAAACGCAGAGTTTTGAAGTTCTGTTAAGGGTTCCCAACCAAATCCTTAAAGCACACCAACAGTCAGTGACCCCACTGAAACATAATTGAGAAAAGCTTAAACCATGGACTTTTCTGGTGTTCCTTGAGTACTGGGTTGGGAACCACTGAGCTATATCATGCCACAATCAAATTAAAACTATTTGTGTATATTAGTGTGGAAATGGTCACATGGCGCTGCACATATTGTCCAAGTGGAGAAAGTTTAGGACTGTAGTGAGTCTACTAGGAAGGGAAGACCAGCCAACATCTCATGTGCAAGGCACAAGCTCATCAAGGAAGTTACAAGGAACTATAGAACAACATTTATGGATCTACAGGTTATAGATGTTCATGACTCCACCATCAGAGGGTCCTTGGGAAAAACATGGATGGGATTCATTGCAGGGTGTAAGCCACTAAGTACAAATAAGTATGCAAATACTTGGCTCCAGTTTGCAGGAAAAAAAAAAACATCTGGATAATCTTGAAGCATTCTGTAACAATGTTCTATGGACAAATTAGCAAAAAGTGTAAGTTTTTCATCACACTTCTGTCTGGTCAAAAAAAATCGTAATACAAGCAAGCACCATAGTGGAATTCTCCCCTTGATTTGGGGCATTTTTACTGCTGTAGGATTTGGGCAGTGTGTCCCTATTGGAAAAAACCCCATGAATTCTACTTTGTATTGAAGAGTTCCACAATAGAACTTTCGCCATCTGTCCATAAATTGAAGCCATCGGGGTCATGCACGAAGATAGTGATCACAAACAAACAAGTCTATCTGAGAAAAGGTATAGAACAAACATTTTTTTGAACAGAATAGTCCATGTCCAAAACAAATACCACTTAGATGTTGTGTCAAGACCTGAAACAAGCCGTTCATAATCAGAAAGCCTCTATGGAAACCATTTGCAGCGTGGTTTGCATGGAATAGTGTTGGCCTGAATTCTCCTTGCAATACGAGAGACTGATCAGTACAACCAGAAGCATGTGGTTGCAGTCATTTGTTTTAAAAACTAGTTTTTGAATCTGATTTCCTTTTTTGCATTGGTTATCTGGAGTTACATAACATTCTTTCATATATCATTTTTAAAATCAACATTTTGTTGTGCTTGTAAACTCAGACTCATTTTGTATTTAGTAAGAGGATTGAAAAGAAATATTGAGTATAAAGATTATGCAGTACTGCAGAAAATCAGACTGGGGACAAATACTTTTTCACAGCACTGTAATTTTTATTTCAAGTCTTCACTTTCCTATAGTAATTTTATAGAAAAATAGGTAAAGTTGAAAACGTTGTTAATGACGTTACAAATTTCATTCCTTAAGAATGCCTTTCTGTCTCTTAAAACTAAAATCATATTTAAATAGAAATTATCACGGCTCTACACACAGTAATACCTACTGATAAAGTATTATTAAAGTAGACATTTTGAATTAATTTTCATTTTTTTAAAAAGTTTTTTCTTTTTCTAATTGTTGAATATTATGTAATATTCACTTTATATATTTCGGATTGACCACGTTTTTAGTGCAATCTTTCATTTTATTTTTAGAGAGCATATCTAAACCAACAGCATCATGAAGAACAAGGAGCTATCTAAACAAGATCGGGATTTAGTAGTGGAGAAGTATCAATCAGGGTTGGGTTATAAAAAAATATCCCGAACTGTGAACATCCCCCGGAGTACCGTTCATTCTATTATTAAAAAATGGAAAGTGTACGGCACAACTGAGAATCTGCGTAGAGAAGGCCGTCCACCAAAAATCGGTAACCGGGTAAGAAGCCCATTAATCACTTCCACTCTGATACGGATGCTTTTCATTGTAAGGAAGTGGTGATGTTTGAAAGCACAGTGGATGGAGCCCTATGTACGGTTCATATCATAGCTGGACACTGACCCTATCTATACTGCCAAAGCTAATCTGCATTGGGTTAAAAAGCAGAACCTGAATGTTTTTGGATGGCCTAGTCAAAACCCAGGGTTCAGTAAGATTAATATCTTTGGCAAGACCTGAAAATCGCTTTCCACACACTGGTCCAATCCAAGCTGATAGAGCTTGACAGATTTATAATTTGTGATTCATTAAATAGAAAAATAACCTAAATAAAAAAATAATACTAACAAACTATTTGACGCAAAAAGCTATATACAAAGTAAAGTAGCAATACTGTGTGTAAGGATATGTGGTTTCTATCAGCTATATCAATGGAATTAAACAGAATGTATTGCTTTCCAGTAATTGATGTGTTAGGAAGAAAATTGAGGTCCTGCGCCTAGATATGTCGCATTAAGTGAAGATTGCAATAATCTATAACAGTTGCCTGATTAAACAAACAACACTCAAGCCAGGCGCTTTGTCACTAATTCCATGTGCAGTATTCACATCTGAAAACATTTTTAAACCTTTAGAGTTCCCCGTGGTAGCACTTTAGGCAGTGGTGACCTCAAGTAAGATGTCCCTGTAAAATTACTCATACAATATTGAAAATATAACCAGTTTCTACATTCAGAATGCCTTTAATTCAGTAGCATTTCAGTGTCTCGATCTAAGGAAAGCTCCTTTCAGGTCTTGCTACAACATTTATAGTTGCAATAAAAATGATTCAATCCCCATTGAGAATCCGGTTTATTGTCAAAATCTGCAGACTTTCAGCTGTTTGTAATGAACAAATCAAACAAAAGAAATTGAAATAGCTCAACACAACGAATGCTTCAAGTGATTTTCATAATTCAACTGAAAATGCAACTTTATAATGACTTCTTTGGTCTCAAAATTATTTAACCCCCTGATAGAATCCCCCACAACAGAACAAATATGCAAAACAAGAGTTTCATTAGTTGCACCAGTTGTGCTTGAGCAGGAACACTTCAAATACCTGTACTAGCTAGGGGTTTGTTGAGTGTCACATTTGACTGCATGTTAGAAATATGGCTAAGTCAAAAGAATGGTCCACAAAGTTAAGAGAAGAGATCATCACACTTCACAAACAGGATACAAAAAGATAGCGAAGGTACTGAATGTTCCTAAAAACACAGTTGGAAGCATAGTTCTCAAGTTCAAAGTTGAAGGAACAGTGGTTACACTACTTGGACTGGGCAGAAAAAGGAAGCCATAGATGGCTGCAACCATATTTCTGAGATGGAAGTGAAAAACCCTTGAGTAAATGCAAAAGACCTGCAGCAAGACTTGATGGCAATAGGCACTTAGATTTTAGTGAACAAAGTAAGGTGCATACTAAATGCATAAGGTTTCCATGCCAGAACTCAAAGACGTTCACCACTACTGACCCAAAAGCACAAGAACAGTCGGCCCGATTATGCTCAAAATCATATAAATAAGCCATGGAAGTTTTGGGATACTTTTCTGCGGAGCGATGAAACAAAACTGGAGCTTTTAGCTCAATGGTTCAGTGGTATGTCTGGAGGAAGAAGAATGAAGCGTAAAAGAACACACTGCCTACAGTTCAGCGTGGTGGTGGCTCATTAATGCCCTGGGGCTGCTTTACATCCTTTGGCACTGAAAAACCTGCAGCGTGTGGAAGTATGAATTCATTGAAGTATCAGGAAAACCTAGGAGAAATCATCATGCCATCTATGAGGAAGCTGCAGCTTGGACGTCATTGGGCCTACCAACAAGATCATGATCCAAAGCATATCTCAAATTCCACCAAGACTTGGTTGGAGAAGTAGTCCTCTAAAATTATACAGTGGCCATCAAAGCCACCCGACTTGAAACCCATTGAAAATCTCTGGTGACATTTGAAGAAGATGGTTGCAGCATGCAAACCCAAAAATATTACTGAACTGGAGGGCATTGCTCATGAGCAATAGGCTAAGATTCCTCTGGAATGCTGCCAGAGGCTGGTGTCTGGCTGTGCATCTCATTTGTAGCAGGTCATAATAGCAAAAAGGGTGCTCTACTAGGCACTAAATATGCTTGCCTTGAAGGGGTTAATTCATTTTGAGACTGGAGAAGTTATTGTAAGTTTCATTTTCAGTTGAATTTGGAGAAACCACTTGAAGCATTTGTTGTGTTGAGCTATTTCAATTGCTTTTTCTTTTCATTGCAAACAGCAGAAAGTCTGTAAATTTGACAATAAACCTGATTTTCAATGGGGGGTTGAATCATTTTGATTGCAACTGTATTTAAATATTGGTCTGGATTTTGATTAGCTATTCACAAACTGAGAATGACTTCTTTTCACACCATTACTGACTTGTTGCATGCCTTGCTACTGGTCCAGCTGACGGATGAATGGAGTGACATTTTCTAGATTCTCCCAATAATATTGTGCAAAATGTCCAATGTGAGTCAGCAAAGCATTCCCAAAACATTGCACTCACCTCACCATACTTAATAGTTATTATAACCGTCATATTTTTAATTCTTTTTCTAAGCATAACCTTTCTCATCAAAGCCTAAAATATTCTTGTGACTCGGACGTCCAAACAGCTTTTTCCTTAAAGTTTGTGTATTGTGATCTCTTTAGTGAACTTCAAACAATCCGTGATTTCTATTTTAAAAAGCAATGGCGTTGACTTCTTATAGCTGTCTGTAAGCATCACTCTGGTTCAGTATTTTCTTTTCCCAACTGGGTCAACATTTGTTGAACCCAGGGCAAGGACGACTTTATGACTTCATCGATGATGCTCCGAGTTGCTTTTGCAGACATTTCTTTTTGTAGTATGGGCAGTGTACGTGTGATCTTGAACCTTCCTTGTTCATAAATTATAACCATACTGTATAACATTTGACCATGAAACTCAAAATCCTTTGCCGTGTTTTGATGTACTTTTATATACCATTGAGCCGCAAGCGCTAAATAGTCCTTAGTGATGTTTTCTTTGATCTTGGCATGATGTGCTTCCTTACAACTTCTCTGTGGCTTTCAAACTCTCATGTGTTCTGATCTCTCTATAGGCTTGGGCCTCCCAAACCTAGCCTCATCGAGTTACATAAACCTATTCTATCACTTACTTTTGTACATTTTCCCCTCTTAAGTATTCCTTGTGTGTATAATGTTGTAGAGTGTAAAATATTTTATATGAAAGGCAATTGTAAGTCTTAACTCAATATGAGAAATTAGAATATTGCATGGTAGCAAGTAACAAATTTCTCAGGGGATTTAACAAAGGACAAAATATAACATTGGGGAGAAGGATTTTAAATACTCTTGTTGTACAAAGATAGGTAAATGAAATAATACGCTAACAGAGAACAATACATCTGAATAGTCAGAAGGCTTGTAACAGACCCACTAAGTGAGAAGATAAGACCAGGCTGGCTATGCTTTTATATCATAAATGGTCAGACTGGAAGGGCCCACTGACGTTTTAATCTGCTACCAACAATTCTGTTTCTTTGTGCAACTATAGATTTTCCATACTTATCTTTGGGGTTCACAAGTTTTTTCTCACCGTTGTAGGTAGAATTTGGGACGCCCCACTCTGGTAAAGCATAAGAACCCCTGTGAGCTTGGGATTGAGATTGGTGTGGAAGCACGTGATGCCACGATCAAAAGAGATCTCTGAGCACCTCCGCAATGCAGTGATTGCTGCTCATCAGTCCAAAAAGGGCTACAAAACCATTGCTAAGACTTTGGGGCTGCATCTATCCACTGTCAGAGCAATTGTTTACAAATGGAGAAGGTTCAACACCACAGCCACTCTACCCAGGAGTGGTCGCCCTGCCAAAATGTCTCAGAAAGCAATCCAGCAAATCCTCATCAACGAAGTCACAAACAACCACAGGGTGTCTTCAGAGGATACGCAGGTCAGTCTCACCATAGCTAATGTGACTCTTCAAGACAGAGCAATCCAAAAAAGGTTTAGAAGACAATTTGACCTGTTAGTTGTATTCCGATTGGCTTCAAGGTGTTTTTTATACCGATCTGAATATGCCATAATTTTGTCAATGACCAATCAGTAGTGATGTCCCGAACAGTTCGCCGCGGACTCATCATTCCAGCCAATCAGCAGCAGACCCTCCCTCCCAGACTCTCCCATCTCCTGGGCAGCTCACTAAGAATGCAGCTTCAAAATGGATGCTGTCCAGGAGGAGGGAGGGTCTGCTGCTGATTGGCTGGAATGATGAGTCTGCGGTGAACCGTTCGCGGCGAACCGTTCAGGACATCACTACCAATCAGTATACAAACGAGAATAAGGTAATGGCCAAACAACTGACTTCCTAAAATGAGAGAATAAAATTAACTATTCCATAACACATATATATTTTAACTGTATATATTTGCTTAAAATTAAACATTTATTTTTGTCACACATGCCACACACCAGTATATCATAGCATTCCAAAAAGGCAAGGTAATCAAAACTAACTCATGTGTTAAGCTAAGGCAAATCACATAGAATCCGTTTTCTACAAACTATAAAGTTATAATATACAAAAAGGCTCCTAATTTAAATCCTTTGCTATGGGTCATAATGTGAATGCTGGGAATGGACAAGGCAACTCAGCCCCCATGCACCCATATGCTCTTGCAGCTTCTAACTTCCCATCTTGTTGGTAGATGCAAGAGGTTTAAAGATGCCTGGGCACTGCGTAATATTTACAGACATTACAACTACTCTGCAAAAGTTAAAAATACCAGAAACAATTCAATGGAAATTACTTTTGAGCTAAACATGTGCAAGAAATTTGGCAAGAACAAAGTATATCTAAACTGTAATCACATAGAAGCTAGGTCGACTGGTCAGATTTATACACTTTAAAGGGATCTTCTAAGCACCAAAACAACTGTAGCCTAATGAAGAAGTTAAAACACTTTCTGCAGCCCTAGTAACACCTCCCCTGACTGTGACTCACACAGCTTGCATGGAAAAAATGGCTTCATTTTAAATCAGATGTTTATATCCTGCTCTGTAAATTGAACTTTATTCACACGCAGGCGGCTCCTACAGGCTCTAGTTGGCTAATAACACAGCAGAAGATAAGGAAGTTTAAACATTAGATTTCTCTTTGTAGGAAGTGTTTAGGAAAGCTGCGTAAGTCACATGTGGGTGATGTATACACAAAGTGATTTAACTCCTAAATGGCAGAGAATTGAGCAGCGGCACTGCAGGGGTATGATCTATATACTAAAACCACTTCATTGAGCTAAAGTTGTTTTGGTGCATAGAGAATCCCTTTGACCCGCCACCTAAATCGGTAATGTGGGGGGGGGGGGAACACTGCCCTGAGAGAGAGATGAGGGGGTACATCCCAATGTTTAATTTCTAGTCCCTCTCTGTGAGACCATCTGATTGAAATAGCAGAATTTTACGCTGATAATTTACAGAAATGCCTATAGTGAATATTATATTGACAGCCACTGGAAGCAGGTTAGCTCTGCAAGTAAAACATTTCTGCTCCTGCAGAACGGCAACGTTTTCAGCTGCAGGGTTAAAACGGGAGGCACATGGCACCCTGACCACTTCAGTGAGATTAAATGGTCAGGTTGCCTATCGTGTCCATTTAAATGTCAAAAGAGAGGATGTCTCACTTGTTATGGAGTGTATTTGTAGTGATCAGACCTCCTTCTTGTATCACTATGTACATCTATTAGTTCCTGAGATTCCATAATACAGGGAAGCCTTCAGATTACTTAATACACAGGATGGATAAGGGTCATTTGAGAAGATCTTATAAGACAGATATTCAGGTGATTTACTGCAGGCATATTACCCAAACACCGCCTGTGCTCTCCCCTGTTCATGTGTTAGGGAAGAGTGAATTGATCAACAGTTGTCCTTCCCAATGATAGTCAACATCCCACATTTGCTCTGCATGCAAGCAGCTGTATAGAGCTGCCCTCGAGACATGTACAACTACAATGGAAAGATCCATACTACTATTTTTAAAATGCTGATTTTCTCATTCAATAAACAGTGTCCAAAGCTGATATGCTACTGCAGACGTATCATGTTCTGCTTTAGCATAGCCTGCAGATTAGAAGGGCCAAGGATGGCTGTCAGAGCCAGGTAAGTGTTAAACCGTTCATAAACACTGACAGATTACACAGGGGACTATTGGCACCATCAACAAAATGCTATAGTGGTTATGGTGGATGAGTCTCCCTTTAAAGTGTGAGAATGTATAATCTCTAGAGGATGAAGTTAAACAAGGTGATGGAACATTGACGCATTTTGTTTAAAGGATTTAATTCTCATATCATAAACGTATTATTTATTTTAGAATAATATAAGCCTTCTCTTATCTTTCATTTTAGGACCAGAACATGCCTAAGTGCATTGTCAGAGATTGCCCCCATAAAACTGGAAGGAAGCTCGAATGCCCTACTGTTGTGCTTCATGCCTTCCCAAATAATCTTGAAAAAATAAAACAGTGGCTGTTGCAGACCAGACAAGACTTTGGAGACCTTGAAACATTTGCCATTGAGGTCCTTGAAGGAAAAAAGAGTGAAAAGCATTGCTTATGCTCAGAGCATTTCACAAGTGACTGCTACATTTACCAAGGCAGCAAAGTCGTCCTCAGCCGTGACGCTATACCCACCATATTCCCTGGGGGAGAAAAAAGTGGCACCACAGAAGAATGTGAGGTTGGACCTCCACGTAAAAAATACAGAAGTGGCACCCCAGAATGCTCGATATTCATAGATGCTTTAGGAGTACCATCACACACTGGGCATGAAGATGCAAGCACACAGACAGATCCTCATTTTGGACATAAAGATGTTGGAACAAAGACCAGTGCTACGCTTGGAAAAAAGCATGCAAGCACGCAAACCAAAGGGATTTAATTCACAACTTCGAAATATGTGTCCTTGGGTGACAATGCAGGATCCAGTAAGGCTGAGAACAGTGGTCCTGTTATTGTCAGATAATAGTGACATCAATGTCCTAGTCACAGAATCACTCTCCTGTCAGCTGGTAAATGTTCTCAAGGTCCTCTTAGTGAAGTCTTCTGTTTCCATGTGCAGGGGAAGTGTTGGGTGACTTAAGATGGGGTGAAATGTTTAAATATTCTAGAGGACATGTTTTGAAATGACCATGTCCGATAACATCAAAGTGTTTGGACAAAGTCTTGAAAATTTTCTTCACACTCTTCAATTTGAATAGGAACAAACTTCCTTAAAAGTGCACTATATGGTCAGGAATACAAATATATATTCCTGACCCTATAGTGTTAAAACACTGTTTAGGTGGCTGCCCTCCACCTTAAAAAGTTAATAAACTTACATTTATTACAGCACCTTGCAGGTCTGCCGGCATTTGGCTCCACCCTTGATCCACCTCCTTGGCTGAGAATGGGTAAGCATTGGATTGGCTAAGATAGTCAATTCTGACGCTGCTCTGACCCAGGAAGCACTTCTAGTGGCTGAGTCTGAGTCTGCCAGTGGAGGTCTCTCTAGGCTGTAATGTAAACACTGCTTTTTCTTTGAAAAGGCAATGTTTACAGCAAAAATTCTGCAGGCACTGAGTATACACACTAGAACCAGTACATTAAGCTGTATTTTTTCTGGTGACGATCGTGTCCCTTTAAATTGAAACAGAAATGAATGCTTTTTGGGGGACAAAAAAAAAAAAAAAGTGGTTACTGATTGTTAAAATATTCTGATTTTCCAAAATACTGTTATGATCATTTGAAATTCCCTCATGTTACTTTTTATTGTTAATTCTAGTTATGTTTCACCATTACTCTTTACATTTGTTAATGAAGTTTATTTTCACCACATTTTACGGTTTAGTAAAAGACCCTGCTGGTGTGATTTTAACCATGATAAACCTGGGGAAACCGGGTAGAGAAGGCAGCAATATCAGGAGGTAAGATCATTCAGCCCCTTGGGAAGGTGAGGCTGCTAGGAATCGGACATTATAAACAATACATGGCGATAAATTGTTAAACCAAGAAATGTTTTGGATAATGGCTTTGTGGTGTAAAAATGCTACTTCTGTCGTATTGAAATGTCATGAACCTTTCCAGAAACTATAAAGAACGATGAACCTGGATATGAGCTTGCCTTATATAAGGAAAGGCCACTAATCTATCATTTCTTCATAGTTATACTTTAATATTAGCCCCTGATTGAAAAACAATCCGCTAATATTCCATGATATTCCCTGATCTGGACTACTCTTTAGTTAAGCAGACAGTGTGCACTGCTTAGCCGCACAGGATGTTTGGTTATATACAGACTGGTTCAGGGTTTGCCACCTTAAAATTGGCTGTCAGCTGATATTATATCAGGCCTGTTCCAAAATGGCTACGAAAAATGGTTCAGTCTTTATGGTATCTATCACCATCAGCCTATCTTGAAACAAGATTAATTAAAGGGCAACTGTCATCTCTATTATTATATATTTTTTTAATTCTAATTACATCAAGTTTTGAAAGAAGATAGTTTGTTTGTTTTTTTTAAAGGTAGTATATGGGGTAAAGAAAGAGGAAAAACCCTTCGCTACAATTAGTAGATGACAGGATCCTTCAGCCATATACATGCACCTTGGGTCAGACAGAGTTTGAAACTTAGTCTCTATGGTCTTCTGTGTTCCTGTGCAGGGAGTGAAGAACCGTTTGAAACTTAGTCTCTATGGTCTTCTGTGTTCCTGTGCAGGGAGTGAAGAACCGTTTGAAACTTAGTCTCTATGGTCTTCTGTGTTCCTGTGCAGGGAGTGAAGAACCGTTTGAAACGCTTTTTAAAATTATTTTATTTACAATAAAACAAAAATCTATTTCCTTTTAAAACTTGATGAAATGATTATTATATTTAAAAAAATAGTGTGAGCTTACTGCTGTCTTTTATCTCTGGTCCAGTAATAACCAATATTGTCTGTGTACAATGTAGTGCATTTTATGAAAATATTGAACTATTTAACATGATGCATATTCTGTCCTCTTATTTGTTTATTACGCGTCTATCATGTGTTTTTACTACAAATCACTCCGGGACGAGCCTTGTATAATGACCATGAATTTGGTAAGTCTGGTGGTACAAAGTCAAACCTACCACATCATATTGTTTGTATGAATGCGATACAATACTCACACTAGCCGTATGTTGGTTTAATGGCACTGCGTAACCTCTCTTAACTCTGCATATTATCGTTATTGGAGAGGTCTGGCTTCGATCGTTTGACAAACCAGGAGCTATATCTCTTAGTAACTTGTTACCAGCTAACTTTTGAATATCACATAGGAATACACGGTAAGCATATCTTCTTGACTTGTAAATATGTTTGTCATTTGTTAATATATGTATTAGACTTTAATTCTTTCCCTTTGGTGTGAACTACAGCCTAGGATACAAAGCTGTTTTCCAATGAGTGAGTTAGTCAGAATACCTAACCACAACTAAAGTGACTGAAAATGAGAATAAACCCAATTAAAATGGAACCTTCATCAATGTTCACCTAAAACAGTAAAAAAAGGTGAGGAATAACATACATCATGTGACAAATGTACTTGACCCTGGTGTTCCTTAAGGATAGTGATGGATATGATAAAGCTATATTAGTCTATTAAGATAATGCCCCTTGAGAGAGAGCATTAAGGGCTTTCACACGATACGTGCATATCAAGGGTTAACCTTACAAATTTAAAGTGGTATGCGTCAGTCAATCCAAGACCAATCCCGAATTTTCATGGCCAAGTACATTCCTCACACAGTGTAGGTTATTAACTAGGGTAGTTTGGTTTTCGGTAATATGCTGTTTTAGGTGAAAATTAAAAGAAGGTTACATTTTAATTTGATGTTTTTTTTCCTATTTTCAACCACTTTAGTCTTAGTGAGGTATTCTGACTAACTCTCTTATTAGAAAACACCTTTGTAGCTCAGGCTGTAGTTAATTTGAAAATTATGGGGTTACCCCCCCTTTCTTTGGTGTTTTCATCCCAGAATATCTATAGCTCAATACGTCTTTTGTTTTGTTATTTTTAATGGTAACCATTTGGTCCAATTCAGGGGTAAGCGACAATAATCAATATTTCCAGTAATGACAATGGGAAATTTATTTGGGGATGTAATGTCCGGTTGGGGGCAGCACAAAGTGTTTAACTCCTTAAGGACCAAACTTCTGGAATAAAAGGGAATCATGACATGTCACACATGTCGTGTGTCCTTAAGGGGTTAATGCATTACCCCCCCAACTTGATGCTGTTCTGAAAAAAAAAATCTGCTCTCAATGGGGAAGTGTAGGTTACAATGTCTTTAATGTTTGTAGGTAGCACACTAACAACAGATTGAAGTACCAAACCTACCAATGTGTGTGTGCCCCATGAACACGTTAGATCTGTAATATAAAAACAGTTATTTTGTAAAGTCTGTGTAAAATTAAATATACATTTCTTCACAGATATTGTCTATCAAAATATGCAACATATATGACCAGAAACATGTTACTTTTCAGCATTCATACAAATATACAGTTTGCGTTTTATGTATGTGCGATGATTCCTGTATTTGTGTATGTTTTGTTTCCGCTACAAATTGTCCATATTTTGTGTTAACACTATATTTTGAATAATACAATGCACTTACATACCCAGTCTTACTTACCCTTACTGTAACTGCCATTAGCCCCTAGGTTCCTATCCAGATTTGTACGTCCATTCTGTATATTTTTAAATATGTTTATATATTGTTTTATATTTTGTTTGGGAATTATAATGGACCCCATAAAACATAGCTATGTAGTACTGTGCCTTGTAAGCCGGTATTCATTGAAGAATTAAAAACATTTTAAAATTGTGAATGCACGGTTATTATTTTGAAAACATTGACACATTCCACTGTGCTGTACATTACAATATATTACAAACAGACAGTCTGCATACCTTTATACAGTTGCAAGAAAAAGTATGTGAACCCTTTGGAATGATATGGATTTCTGCACAAATTGGTCATAAAATGTGATCTGATCATCATCTAAGTCACAACAATAGACAATCACAGTCTGCTTAAACTAATAACACACAAAGAATGAAATGTTGCCATGTTTTTATTGAACACACCATGTAAACATTCACAGTGCAGGTGGAAAAAGTATGTTAACCCTTGGATTTAATAACTGGTTGAACCTCCTTTGGCAGCAATAACTTCAACCAAACGTTTCCTGTAGTTGCAGATCAGACGTGCACAACGGTCAGGAGTAATTCTTGACCATTCCTCTTTACAGAACTGTTTCAGTTCAGCAATATTCTTGGGATGTCTGGTTTGAATCGCTTTCTTGAGGTCATGCCACAGCATATCAATCGGGTTGAGGTCAGGACTCTGACTGGGCCACTTCAAAAGGCGTATTTCTTCTGTTTAAGCCATTCTGTTGTTGATTTACTTCTATGCTTTGGGTCATTGTCCTGTTGCAACACCCATCTTCTGTTGAGCTTCAGCTGGTATACAGATGGCCTTAAGTTCTCCTGCAAAATGTCTTGATAAACTTGGGAATTAATTTTTCCTTCGATGATAGCAATCCGTCCAGGCCCTGATGCCGCAAAGCAGCCCCAAATCATGATGCCCCCACCACCATACTTCACCACAGTTGGTAGCAAGAGAGGGAGGCAGGAGAGGACCCAGGGAGCTCTAGACAGAAGCTCCGCCAGGTTCCTCTCGCGATATCTGAGCGTTGCTGCGGCAACGCTCAGATCTCGCGAGAGTTAACTCTAGCCCCACAGGCTAGAGTTCACTCTCCACTGGACCACCAGGGATGGCACATGGCAGCAAGGATTTACTAATCTGCCAAATCCCTCCAAACATACAGCACACACACATACAGCACCTACACACATACAGCTTACACACACACAGTACACTAACCGCACCCTCACAAACACACACAGCACCTTTAAAAAAAAACACAACACCCTCACACACAGCACACAAACAGCACCCTCACAAATACATGACACTCACACAAACAGCACCCTCACAGGACAAACATACACACACAAACACTCTCACACACAAACAGCACAGTCACAAACACACACACAAATACCCTCACATCACACTAACAGCACCCTCACACACACATCACACTAACAGCACACACGGCAGTGTATGTGTTTGTGTGTGTGTGTATGTATCTATATATATATATATACATATTATTATTTTATTATTTATATAGCGCCAACAAATTCCGTAGCGCTGTACAATGGGTGGACTAACAGACACATAATTGAGATCAGACCACTGACGTACAGGAACAGAGGGGGTTGAGGGCCCTGCTCGATGAGCTTACATGCTAGAGGGATACATATATATATATATATATATATATAGATACATACACACACACACACACACACACGGCGGGTGTTTGTGCTTTAGGGTGCACACCCTAATGCAATAGGCTGCGCACGCCTATGAAGCAGACTGTGATTGTCTATTGTTGTGACTTAGATGATGATCAGATCACATTTTATGACCAATTTGTGCAGAAATCCATATCATTCCAAAGGGTTCACATATCTTTTCTTGCAACTGTATATTGGGACCCAAATCCATCAGCCTCTCTTCTATACGGTATCACAGAAATCCATAATATTCACAGTAATGCATTTTATACTACAGTAAATATGTATTGATATTATCTTGAATAAAATATTGGTTTTGTCCAATATTAGTTTTGTTTTTTCCTCCAGTTTCATAATTAGTGTTACATTTTGTGAAATTGCTTGTGTTTTTATTTTTATTCAAATTTTCCTATATTAGTATATGGACCCCAATGTTAGGAATATGTGTAGGCCTAATCATTGATATATTTTATGCACCTATAGGAGTATGCTTGTATGTATGACTGTATGAATCATTTTAAACTGCTGAGGACAAGCAATAAAATGATCAAGTCAGTAAATGTAATAATAATAAAGTATTTAACCAGGAAAGGTACATTTAGATTGCTCTGGTTTTCAAGTACATCTGGAGGATGTTACTATTACCCAATTTAATAGTCTGCATTAGCCCTGCTGGGATTTGTATCTGCTAGCCCCAAGGTTGAACAGATTCTTCTGATGATGCATTAGCCCACTGAGCGATCTCACCGGCGTATTTCCCATGCTTCAGGTAAGGATCCAATGATAATATGGATAAAAGCCATTGTAGTATCAATGAAGATGATTCAGTAAGTGTACCCCCATAATCTCTGAGAAAGGGGATTTCCCCAACGGCAATCTGTTTATCCAGTCTGATCGAAGCAATGTTGTAGATAGGGAGAATGTGTTCGCAGGGGCGTATTAGCCGCGAGGCAAACAAGGCATTTGCCTTGGGCGGCATTTTTCAGGGGGCGGCAAAAAAACGCCGCCCCCCAAATGCCCAGGGCAAATGCCTAGTTAGCCTCGCGGCGGGCGGCGCTGGCAGGCGGGCGGCTGGCGGGCGGCTGGCGAGGGAGCACTTCCTATGAGCTGACTGCTCAGCTCCCTCGCGTGCCGCAGAGTGAGCCTGGGAGCCGGAAGATGACGTCATCTTTCGGCTCCCAGCCTCACTCTGCAGCCGGCGCACGAGGGAGCTGAGCAGTCAGCTCATAGGAAGTGCTCCCTCGCCAGCCGCCCGCCTGCCAGCGCCGCCCGACCTGCAGCCACTGGACCACCAGGGAGAGAGACCCCCCCAGCACTCCCAAAGGTAAAGAGGTTGGGGGGGGATTTAAATTAAAAAAAAAAAGGTAATGTGTGTGTTTGTGTCTGACTGTGTTTGTGAGTGTGTGTGTTTGTGAGTGTGTGTGTATGTGTCTGAGTGTGTTTGTGTCTGACTGTGTATGTGTCTGAGTGTGTGTGTGTTTGACTGTGTTTGTGTATGTGTCTGACTGTGTGTGTTTGTGACTGTTTGTGTCTGACTGTGTTTGTGTCTGACTGTGTGTTTGTGAGTGTGTGTCTCTGACTGTGTGTGTGTGTGTGTCTGACTGTGTATGTGTGTGTTTGTGTCTGACTGTTTGTGAGTGTGTGTGTGTTTGTGTCTGACTGTGTTTGTGTCTGTGTATGTGTCTGAGTGTGTGTGTGTTTGTGTCTGACTGTTTGTGTATGTGTATGTGTCTGAGTGTGTTTGTGTATGTGTCTGACTGTGTGTGTTTGTGACTGTGTGTGTTTGTGTTTGACTGTGTTTGTGTCTGTGTATGTGTCTGAGTGTGTGTGTGTGTTTGTGTCTGACTGTGTTTGTGTATGTGTCTGACTGTGTGTGTGTTTGTGTGTGTGTTTGTGACTGTGTGTGTTTGTGTCTGACTGTGTGTTTGTGAGTGTGTGTGTCTCTGTGTGTGTGTGTCTCTGACTGTGTATGTGTGTGTTTGTGTCTGACTGTGTTTGTGAGTGTGTGTGTGTTTGTGTCTGACTGTGTTTGTGAGTGTGTTTGTGAGTGTGTGTGTATGTGTCTGAGTGTGTGTGTGTTTGTGTCTGACTGTGTTTGTGTCTGTGTATGTGTCTGAGTGTGTGTGTTTGTGCCTGACTGTGTGTGTTTGTGACTGTGTGTGTTTGTGTTTGTGTGTGTGTGTCTGACTGTGTGTGTGTCTGACTGTGTGTGTGTCTGACTGTTGTGTGTCTGACTGTGTGTGTGTCTGACTGTGTGTGTCTGTGTATGTGTCTGTGTATGTGTCTGACTGTATGTGTTTGTGTATGTGTCTAACTGTGTGTGTGTGTGTGTGTGTGTATGTGTCTGACTGTGTGTTTGTGTCTGACTGTGTGTGTATTTAGAAGGTGGGGCGGGGGGAAGGGTTGGGTGGGGGTGGCGCGGGGGCAGGGGGGCGCCTGAGTTTTGTCCTGCCTAGGGCAGCACAAAACCAGGATACACCACTGTGTGTTCGTACATAGGCCTAATGCTCATTTTGTAGTGAACATGGCTTACTTGGTCTAATATTAAAGGAACACTTAGTGTCAGGAATACAAACTTGTTCCTGGCATGATAGATCTAAATGCACAATTTAGTCCTCAGCCTCCCCTTATCCCCAGTTAAAAAGATCATTTACTCACTTTTTTTCCAGCATCGCGCAGATCTCCTTGAGGCTGGCCTTGTCCCTGTCCCGCCTTCTTGACTGAGACCATCACATTTTACATTAAAAAGCCTGCAGGGATAGGAAGTAGACACCAGAATCACTACATTAAACTGTGGCTGTTTTGGTGACTATAGTTTCCCTTTAAATATTGCATTAAAGGACCACTATAGGCACCCAGATCACTTCAACTCAATGAAGTGGTCTGGGTACCAGGTCCATCTAGTTTTTTTAATTCTTTATTTTTGTAGTGCAAGTGAATACAAAGTAGCGTGCAGTACCATGACCATTTCTGCAGTCCAATCAATCGTTTACAAATATTGACATTGGTATGGCATACTGTATGGTAACTTTGCATAGTTTTTTTTTTTGGTAAATAAGATTCCTAAGGTACATATGAGGACGAGTTGAGTCAAGCCTGTCTAGCTAGTAAGCATCTGTACATTCCACCCCTTCTGATCCTAGCTGGTTAGGGGTGTGTCAGTGTAGATGGTGAGGGCATGCAATAAGGGGCATGTCATTATATGTCCATCTATTGTGGAACAGGGTGATGATTCGTTGGTGCTCTTAAATAAGGGCTTGTGTGCTAGCTTGGGGGGTCAAAGAAGTGTGATTCCTAAACCCTGCTGCTGTGATGGTGTGCGGCCTGTGTCTATTAAGCGGCGCTGTGTTTCTTGAGGGTTTGGAGCGTGCTTGGGAGTATAATCAGGCTGGTAAAACCAGTTCTGGCTGATATTAAAGGCATCCCTGCTAGTGAAGAGAGCCCCAGGGGTTTTGTGTGCCTTCACGTGTGGGGTGTTGCTGTGCCTTTTATGTTGAGAGGCCCTCGCACCCAAGTACATCGGTTTCAGGGTCCCTGGCAGTGTGCGGGGGGGTGGCACTAGTACCCTAGTTCAGAGTAGCAGACTAGCAGCTAGACTGTTGTGGATGTCAAGAGTAGGAACTCATCCTATGCGTAAACGCTTGTGCATGATGTCTCAGGCTTTTATAGTGTTCCCCCGTTCCTGATGTCGAGTAAGTGATAGTGTCAGGAGCATTATATGAAATCTGGGATTTAACCTTCAGTAAATTAAACAAGGCTGCGTGTGAAGCCGTCTAGAGAGCAATACTAAACATAAAGGTAAAACGTGAAACAATATTAACGTTAAACTTGTGGAGGTATGTGTATGCAAGCACATTCAGGTTACGGAGTCCCGTTCCCCTCCGGGAATGAAAGGAGTGATTCGGTCTACATCCCATATTCGTTGTGACGTTGTTGCTGGGTCTGGCGCCGGGAGGCCTAGTGCTTGCAGAAGTTTCAGCCCCTCTGAGGGGTTTGCAGCTTTGTGGGTCTTCCCGTCTTTGGTGCACACCAGCGATCTTGGGTTAGTCCATCTGTAGGGTATGCCGGCTGTCAGTAAGGGTTGCGTGATGGGGCGCATTGATTTGCGCCACATTAGGGTGGCCTTGCTAAGATCTTGGTAAAATGTAAGGGAGTAAGTTTCGAAAAGAAATGGTGTTTTCCCCCGCAGCGCCTGTAGCAGCCTTTGTTTGTCTGCATGGGACCGACAGCAGAGTATGATGTCCCTGGGGACATTGTTCGGTGTTTGTGAGAAAGTTGGAATGCGGTATAGTCCATCATAGTCAAACTGTTTTGCGTGTTTGGCTGGAAGGAGAAATGCAATAAGTCGCCTGACGAGATGTGGTAATTCGTCCGCGGGGACGGAGTCGTCCACACCCCGGATTTTGACATTCTTTTGTCGGCTCCTATCTTTTAGGGTATCCATTCTGGCAACTAGTAGGGAGTGGGACTCTTGCAGGTTCTGTATTGATTCCCCTTGAGTCGTCATGCTTTGCCTCAGGTCAGCAGTGTCCTCCTCAGATGCTTGGAGGCGTTCTGTGACTGCTTTCAATTCAGTTTTGACCATGTTGATTTCTGCAAAGAACATGTCCTGGAAGTGTGCCAGTAAGTCGTGGATGTCCTGCCTTGTAACAGGTTTGTCTGTCACAGGTTTCTCTGCACCATGTGTTGTTCGGGCTTCGTCTGTGTGTGTTTTCTCTCTTACCGCGCTGGGAGCTGTCTCAGGCTGGCGTTGCAATGGCTCCTGGGTGCGTGGAGTTGATGACAACATCTGTCCAATATCATGATTTGAGGCGGTTGCTGCCGCCGCCTGTTTCTGGGATTTGCGGCCCTTCATGGTTTCCGATGGTTCCCTGGGTGGGCTGGCCGTGAGTAGTAGCGGGTCAAAGTCGTCCCTGTCCCAGATTGTAAAGTGCGGCAACCGCAGAGTTCGGTCCATCTAGTTTTAACCCTGCAGCTGAAAACATAGCAGTTTCAGAGAAACTACTATGTTTACACTGCAGGGTTAATCCAGCCTCTAATGGCTGTCTCACTGACAGCCACTAGAGGTCGCTTCCGCGATTCTCACTGTGAAAATCACTGACGTCCATTGAGTAATACATTGAGTAATACTTTCCTATGGATGTTTTTAATGCGTGCGCAGCTATTGCCACGCATGCGCATTCGGCTCCACTCAGGAGCCAACGTCGGAGGGGGAGGACAGGTCACCGGCGCTGGATAAAGGTAAGTGGCTGAAGAGGGGGGAACCTAAGGACTACATAGTGTCAGGAAAAAGTGTTTGTTTTCCTGTCACTATAGTGGTCCTTTAATATAAATAAATACATTAGATTCACTGCCTAAATTTAACAGATGTTCATTTTAAATTGTTGAACAGGTGGTGTCTGACACCAAAGCTCCTGACAAAGATGATATCGGTATAAAGATATGATATAAAGATGATACACTGCATGCACACTATATGCTTTAAAAACACTGCATACACTATACATACAATGCATTAATTACATGCACTACACACACAATGCAGTAACTACACACTGCATGCAATACACCCATTACATGAACTACACACACACAATACATTCACTACACACTGCATACAATACATGCACTACACAGACACAATCATTTATGAAGGTTAATTACTAAATTGTGAATTTCGAGGATGTGAACGGTCAATGTCAAATTTTAGGCCAAAATAGATATTCTCCAAGACGGCCAGGTAGGATAGGTTGATCTAAAATATGAAATAGCCTAATTAATGGGACTCTATAGGCACCCTTCATCTCAGTGAAGTGGTTTGGATGCCATGACAAACTAGTTCTAACCCTGCAAGCGAAAACATTGTCGTTCTACAGGAATGGCAGCGTCTACATTGCAGGGTTTACATGCGCTAAAGTCACTTACGACAAAATATGCAAGTAAAACTCTGTAAAATGCTTTCCTATTGGGTTTTGGGTGACGCTGGATGTCTCATGCATATACACACTCAGATACACACTGACATACAGATATACACACATACGCACAAATACATATAGTCAGATACACACACTAGCACATACACACACACTCAGATACGGCACATACACACAGATACACACACACACTCAGATATGGCAAATACACATACTGGCAGATACACACACACTCTGATATACACTGACACACAGATACACACTCTCAGATACACACACTGACACAAACACACACTCAGATACGGCACATACACACAGATACACACACTGGCACAAACACACTCAGATATGGCAAATACACATACTGGCAGATACACACACACACTCTGATATACACTGACACACAGATACACACTCTCAGATACACACACTGACACTCAGATATGGCAAATACACATACTGGCAGATACACACACACTCTGATATACACTGACACACAGATACACACTCTCAGATACACACACTGACACTCAGATACAAATACACATACTGGCAGATACACACACACTCTGATATACACTGACACACAGATACACACTCTCAGATACACACACTGACACAAACACACACACTCAGATATGGCACATACACATACTGGCAGATACACACACACTCAGATACACACATACAGGTTAAATCCTCCCTCTTGTCCTAACCTGCCATGCCACATGTGAGGTAAACCAAATACCTGTAAAATAAAAAGATAATACTTACCATTAGATGTCTTCTTCAAGTTGAGTTGCAACTATTAAAATAAAAAAGGACTCATCTGCAAAAAATAAAAACCATGCTGGGGAAAAAAAATTACAGAAAAAATAATCCATCTTCACTCCGCAACGGCTCTGTGCAGACTGAGTTTGCAGGACAGAGAAAGCCTTATAATGATTTCCCATGCCATGCAATGTGGCTTAAGTCAACCAATCAAAGTGCGCTGACAAGTAAGACTCCAGATTTGCCCGTCAGAGCACTCTGATTGGTTTATTGCTTAGGGCCCACACCCAACGCAAATGGTTTGAGGAGGGGGATTAGGTCCATCCCCTTGTTATTTAGTTTTTTAGGGCTGGGGTGGACACAATGTTTTCCCCATTTATATTAATAACCCCACCCGTGGTGAAAAGGGCTGCAGCGGAGGAATAGGGTACTCTAGTTTAGGGGATAGGAGGCTGGACACATATGCAGCCACACACAGAGATATGGAAACACAATAACAATAACACACTGACACATACACACAGATGCAAACATATACCTTCAGAAACACACACATACCTACACACACTGGCACACACACAGATACACAGACCTACACACACATACCTGCACACACACACACACAGGCACATAGATACACACATACCTACACATGCACACTGGCGCACATATCTTCACATACACACACAGATACAAGATAATAGAATATACAGGCAAAACTCCAGGTACTGAAGGTTTATTTATTGGAGCATAGAACACCCTATAAAAGTGCTATGTTTTGGCCCTAGAGAGCCTTAATCATACTTAAGTCCCTCTAGGGCCGAAACGTTGCAGTTTTACGGGGTGTTCTACCCTCCAATAAATACACCTTCAGTACCTGGAGTGTTCTCTGAATATTCTATTACCTTGTATTGTTGGACAGATTAGCCGTGTCTGTCTAATGCAGAGTACCTCTGAGGCTGTGGGCCGGAGTGAAAAACAAAACCTGAGTGCAGTGGACTACGTTGTCTGTGGTACACACAGATACACACACATGCATACTCACAGATACACACTGACACAAACATACTCACAGATACACATTGACACTCACAGACACCTACACATACACACACGCAGATACACACTGACACTCACAGATGCACACACATACTCACAGATACACATTGACACACTGCAATTGCCCCCCTCCTCCCCTCACAGATCCGCTAAAGAGAAGGGGGTATTTTCCTTCATAAACTCACTGTTTAGCAAAAATACACACACACTGTACCACTCATACAACCTGCCCACACACACACTCTACCCCTCATGCACAAACTGCCACACATACACACACACTGCATCCTTCACACACTATATCCTTCACAAACACAATGCACCCCCATGCACTCGCTGCACCTCACACACTGCACCCTTCAAATGCCCTTCACATCCACACACACTGCACCACTCACACACACACACTCCACCACACACACATATTACACTCCTCAGACACACTACAGCCCCTATCCTGGGAGATCCCAAGTAAGTTGTCAAACTGTTCTACAAAGTGCTGTAGTGGTTATTATCCCGGGTTGTTTCTTTAAATAATCTATCAGTGCCCCTCCCAAGATTAGGTTCTGGATCTGCACGTGAATGGCAAGCATTTCTGCTGAACAGGGGCCCAGTATATACCGCTGCGCTGTACATATATACAACCTAGGAAATTATTTTAACTTGAGGCACCTTCAACCTAAAAAGTTTGGGAACCACTGATAACTAATGAAGAAATGGACAAAATTCAATTTGGATGAAACTATTTTTTTTTCTCGTCTGAATGTTTTTGGATGAAATGAAAATTACAGTGGCACCCAAATCTAGTCATTTCTAGATTGTAAGCTCACAGGCCAGGTCCTCTTTCCTTTTGTATCTATTTGTGTATGTGACGTACCTTCCGTCAATCGATGCTCCTAGTGCTCAGCGAGGACTCCAAACACTCCACCAGACACCATCAGCACCGCAGTCCCCACATCCAGCTTTACAGCTTAGCTGGGAACTCGCCGTCCTCTACCTACCCTGGACCTACGACAAGGCTCCAATGGGTGAACCTCTCCTCCAAGAGAGACTAGCAGGAACAAACTCCTAAAAGATCTTAGTGATTATAATCCCTGGGGAGTATAGTGATATAGCAATCACCAGGGTAGATGCAGCCTTTTCCCCCACACATGAGACGAGGCTCTATGTTAAGGGTAAAACAGGAACTCGGCAGATCTCAGGGTTTATTGTCTTTTATACAGTTTTCCCCACAAGGTTACCACCCACGTGGACCTTGCGGAGCACAGGACACAAAGTCACAAAACCAATCAAAACAGTCTTGTACCGTTAGACACTCCCAGCTAATGTACACAAACCCTCCCCTCTGCTTGGGAGATAATTGAGTAAGATACTGTAATTAACTCAATTATCACCAAGCAGAGAAACCAAATTTTTCACAAAACACAACACCACATATCACTACATCATCCCCTGATAGCCCTGATCTGGGTCAACAACATATCCAAAAATCACCCAGATCAGAGCAGGGGTTCAGGAAATTCCTGGAAGTCACATTTGACCGACCGCAAGCACATTTTCATGCCCAAAACAGTTCCAGAGAATTAGGCTGTGCGGCCGGTCTATTTCCAATACTAAGTTTCGTTCAAATGCACGAACAGGAGCCGTTCGTGCAAATAGTCAATGTTAAAGTGGCGTTCGACTCCCGCAGAAATGTCGAAGTCCCGGGGAAGGTAAAGTTCAGCGGTGTTCGTGCCGTCGCGTGTCCGATTTGAGTTCCATGAGCTCGACGGCAGAACACCACTGAACACGTTTGTCTAAACAAGATGGCCGCTGCCACGTGTTCGACTATACGAATGGCGGCCACTTCGACTACTTAGTCACTTCAGCAGTTTCCGAAGTGCCATTTTGAAAGTGCAAATCCTTTCCAATAATATTTAAAGGGACAGAAACAGTGCTTTAACCCCTTAATGACCAAACTTCTGGAATAAAAGGGAATCATGACATGTCACACATGTCATGTGTTCTTAAGGGGTTAAGGACACATGACATGTGACATGTCATGATTCCCTTTTATTCCTGAAGTTTGGTCCTTAAGGGCTTAAAATCCAATATGCACAAATAGAGTTTTTAAACGGCAATACACCCCAGGGGCCATAGTGACAGGGCAAGAAGCTGGCAAGCAGGCCTCTCCAAAACCCAGTGGCCACAGTGTATATTGTCTGTATAAGTACAATGTTCATGTTTTTATATTTTGAAACAGAGTGCTAAATAAGAACTGTTAAATATATAAAACATGCTAAAATTCCAACTGACTAATACCACTTTATTTCTAACGCACCAACATGTTCTTAAAAGTTCAAATTACAGTTTTTTAAACTTATTATTTATATTATAGTGAGCAGCTAAATTACAAGAGAGTTCAGAGCAATTTAAACCCATCCTACAAGTTAACCCAATGTATTATTAGATATAATATTTCATGGATACGGATATGAGTTCTATTAACCTATATAATTATTATTAGATATTGGTATATGTGAAGATCACGGTGAGGAGGGGGTATTTCCCCTCATACACTTATTAAACATTCATTGTTCATTCTCAAGTTACCAGAACTCACTGTTTAGCAAATATGTGATGTCATGGACACAGTGTCATAATGCTATGATGTCACAGTGGATTTGTTGTGATGAAGCTAGATGTAAGAGGCCCATTCAATGGGAAAGCAGTACATTTGGTACTTTTGTGGTGGGGACCATCAGGAACACAATCTCCAAGCAAGAGGATTAGAAGGAGGAGGAGAGGATATGGAAAACGTCTCATTACTAGATTTTTATCAAGAACATACAGGTATAATGAAATCCCGCCAAGGTGGGAAGAAAACAAGGCCAGTGTCAGTGGCAGAAATATATTATATTACAAGATCTATTCACTAAACAGCAATTTGTGGTGCTTGGACAGACAAATAGGAAAAATTGGGCCAAAATAGCCAAGTTGGGAAAATAATGACAACTTTAATCATGGGTTTATTTTCTTTTAACTTGGATTTTTGGGGGGGTCGAAATTGTGCAAGTCTACTGGCAACTCAAAGTATATAATCAATTAGACTTTATAATTTGTTTGCTTCAAACCTGTTTTATTTCAAAACATAAAAGGACACTCCAGTCTAGCAGTGACCAATATTATTATGCTTTATATGAATATTATATTAACCCCTTAAGGACGGAGCCAAATGTACACGTTGTGAACAAAACAAAATGTAAACAAAACCTGGCATTTGCGCTACGGTTGTCTGTCCAACCGTAATTCACCTCTTTCATAGTAAATGCACCCACCCTTATTATATATCATTTTATTCAGGGGAAATAGGGCTTTCATTTAATATCAAATATTTAGCTATGAAACATAATTTAATATGAAAAAAACTGGGAGAAAATAAGAATTTTTTTAGTTCTACATGACATTTTAACTGTCAATGTCATAATACTGTTTGCTTTTACTGCAATAAAATACACATATTTGTATTCAGCAAAGTCTCACATGTAAAACAGTACCCCCTATGTACAGGTTTTATGGCGTATAGTAGCCCAGGAATGAAATTTACACCCATAATGGCATACCATTTGCAATAGTAGACAACACAAGTATTGCAAATGGGGTATGTCCAGTCTTTTTTAGTAGCCATTTCGTCACAAACACTGGCCAAAGTTAACGTTAGTATTTGTTTGTGTGTGAAAAATGCAAAAAATGCCAATTTTGGCCAGTGTTTGTGACTAAGTGGCTACTAAAAAAGACTGGACATACCCTGTTTTCAATACCTTGGGTTGTCTACTATTGCAAATGGTATGCCATCATAGGGGTAATTTTCATTCTTGGGCTACTATAGGGTCTCAAAGGCAACGTAACCAATTCGGCGAATTTTAATGTGAAAAAAATGAAACACAAGCCTTATATTTGACGCTGTAACTTTGGAAAACACCATAAAACCTGTACATGAGGGGTACTTCTGTACTCGGGAGACTTCGCTGAACACAAATATTTGTGTTTCAAAACAGTAAAAAGTATCGCAGCAATAATATCATCCATGTAAGTGCTTTTTGTGCGTGAAAAATGCAAAAAATGTCACTTTTACTGGCGATATCATTGTTGTAATACATTTTACTGTTTTGAAACACTAATATTTGTGTTCAGCGAAGTCTCCCGAGTAGAACAGTACCCCCCATGTACTGTAATTCATTAAGATACCTAATTATGTAAAAATATTACATAAATATATATGTAGAATTAATATATGTATATATATATATATATATATATATATAATTTTTTTAAAAATATTTTTATTTATATATAGGTGTATATATATAGTGATATATATACATATATATTTATGTATATAGATATATATATTATTTTGTTCTACGTGTATTTTGATATAAATATATATATATATATTAATATCACAATACAGTTAACAAAATAACACACATCTATATATTTTTTAATTATTTATTTTTAATTATTTTTGTAACTATTTTTAAACGTATTTAAATTTTTTTTATATTATATATAAATATATATAACACAATAATTATATATATATTTAATCAGTATCAGTCTACATGTAATTTGATATTAATATATATATATATATATATATATATATATAGTAAAATACACCTAGACAGTGTATGTGTGTATGTATATGTATATGATCTAAGTATATATATATATATATATATATATATATATATATATATTATTTTTTTTTACACTTATTAACTTTAATTTATTTTATTTCCAGCCAGCAGGGGGACTACCTGTCATTACAGGCAGTCCCCCTGCTGGCAATGCAGCAGGCAGCTAACCCTGCCATGTGATTGTGAGGTCCTCGCAAGGACCTCACTCTCACATGGCCGGGGGGGGGCTGCAGGAGGTCGGATGTGCCGCGGGGGGCTCCCTGGGAGGGCGTACTATTACGCCCGGTGGCGTTTAGAGCCGCCTAAAATAGAGCGTAATAGTACACCCTCCGGTCTTAAAGGACCACTATAGTGCCAGGAAAACAAACTCGTTTTCCTGGCACTATAGTGCCCTGAGGGTGCCCCCACCCTCAGGGTCCCCCTCCCGCCCGGCTCTGGAAGGGGGAAAGGAGGTAAAACTTACCTTTTTCCAGCGCTGGGCGGAGAGCTCTTCTCCTCCCCGTCGGCTGAATGCGCACGCGCGGCAAAAGCTGCGCGCGCATTCAGCCGGTCACATAGGAACGCATTCATAATGCTTTGTTATGGACGCTGGCGTGCTCTCACTGTGAAAATCACAGTGAGAAGCACGCAAGCGCCTTTAGCGGCTGTCAATGAGACAGCCGCTAGAGGAAATAGGGGAAGGTTTAACCCATTCATAAACATAGCAGTTTCTCTGAAACTGCTATGTTTATGAAAAAATGGGTTAACCCTAGCTGGACCTGGCACCCAAACCACTTCATTAAACTGAAGTGGTCTGGGTGCCTAGAGTGGTCCTTTAAGGGTTTAAAATAAACACTAGTAATGAATAAAGTACACAGGGTTATCCAAGAATTGTGAATTGTTGGTAATTAAAGGAACACTATAGTATTAGGAATTCGATCATGTACTGCTAACGCTATAGTTTTTATTTTACTGTATTAATGTTCCCCTTGCCGTGTGAGCGTTGGAAGGGTAAGTTTAAATTACCTTCCAGTTCTCGTTGCGTCAGTCTCTGTGGGGGAAGCTCCACCTCTTTGGTTGAGATTATCAATGATCTCAGCCAATCCAATGGTTTCCCATAGACATCTCTATTTCCCACTATGGGTATTTTGTTGCATTCACCTTTAGTGACTGTAAGAGTGATAGGAACAAGGGGCATTTAAACCCTGCTATGTACACGCTGCCATTCCTGTAGAACAACAATGTTTTCGCTTGCTGGGTTAGAACTAGAGGGTCATGGCCCCCAGACCACTTCACTGAGATTAAGGGTGTCTATAGAGTCCCTTTAATTAGGGTATTTCATATTTTAGAGCAACATATCCTACCTGGGAAATAGCCGTCTTGGAGAATGTCTGTTTTGGCCTAAAATTTGACAAAGACTGTTCACATCCTGGAAATTCACAATTTGGTGATTAACCCTGATAAATATTTCACCTTCAACATGTTTTCAGGGAGCTATCACTGCTCTGGTTGCTTTACAATAAGCTATTAGGAGTATGTCATGCAGATATTGGGATGGGCAGATAGGGTTAACACCTTGTTTTGGAAACATACACGGCCATGCTAATCTGCATAATTAGTGATAAACACATGACATCACAGGACATAATGTCATCTGGTGTTATGTAACATCTCCGGGAGTGTCATAAGAAACAAAAATAGGAAGAGGGAAAGTTACTAAATCAAGAATAAACTAATAGCAATGTGTGTACTATGTCTGACTGCACCTGTAGCATTGTGTACATGTAGAAGTGTGTATACTGTCTGATTGTGTGTATAGCAGTGTCTCATTGTGTGTGTATATTCTTATCTGAGTGTGTCTGTCATTGTGTGAACTTTGTCTAATTGTGCGTAGAACTGTGTGTCAGTGTGTCTACTGTGTCTGTGAGTACCATTGTTTGCACTGCCCTGTGTAAAATAAGTAGATATTATGGTTCTATTTCTCTCACCACTCCCAGATTTGGTCAGTGAAAAATACTGGTCATCAAATTGCTAGTATTTATGCACTACTTCACCGGACTGACAGCCTCAATACTTGCCACGTGGGAACCATAGCAGAGGAGGATGTATAGTTTCCTCATCTGGAGTCTGGAACTTAATGGGCAGGTTTATAGAAAGAAGGTAGTTTTGCACATTACAGTAGTTTTAAAAAAAATTCTGTGCAGGAAAATGGTATGTCTTGCACCTAACCCTATGTAATGATGGTAAACTCTTACACTTGGGAGAGTGGTTTTAAGAGCACACTTGTCAAGTAAGTCCAGGGAAAATCACAACACAGGATTAGCCAATTATATAAAATTAAAGGGACACAAGTTTTATAATGTGAGCCACTGTTATATCTAAAGATTAGCTTGTGGAATGCTGTTGGGGCACCACAAGCCTGTTTGTACACCTATGCACTGCAAAAATACAAAATAACAAAATTAAAGGGACAATCTAGGCTCTCTCTTCTCTGGCAATTTAAAATATTGGTGTTTCAGAGGAAATTTTACATCAGACATCAACAAGAGGCACTGTCTTCTCTACGAAAAGCAGTGACTGTGAGAACCATTGGGCTGGGCCAAGATCTGACTTCCATTTTTGGAGTCAAGAATTACATTTTTTGCTTTTTGTGGAATAATTGTGAATCAGTTGAAACTGTGGTTTCTAAACAGCAGAAAGAAATGGAAAAAAGCCAATAGAGGCGCTTCCTGCATGTTCTCCTGGGGGACGCCTAGCACCATATGGCATCATAACAACTTAATTTAGATTATTATGATGCCTATACTGTCCCTTTAAGAAATTTTGTTCCAACTCAAACTGACGCTTGTGAAGAAAATGTGAGATTTTCAAGACTTTATCTGAACATTTTGACATAATCGGACATGGCCTTTTCAAAACATGTCCTCTTAAGTAACACACCATCTTAAGTAACCTGACACTTCCCCTGCACATGGAAAGAGATGACTTCACTAGGAGGACCATGAGAACATTTACCAGCTGACGGTAGAGGTGAAGGATTCTGTGACTAGGACATTGACGTCACTATCATCTACGGACAATAATAGGACTTTCATTGATCTCAGCCTTATAGGATCCCATATCTTCACCCAAGGACATATATTTCAATTACCGGTTGTGAATTAAATCCCTTTCATTTGTGTGCTTGCATGCTTTTTTCCAAGCGTAGCACTGGTCTTTGTTCCAACATCTTTATGTCCAAAATGAGGATCTGTCTGTGTGCCTGCATCTTCACGTCCAGTGTGTGATGGTATTCCTAAAGCATCTATGAATATCGAGCATTCTTCTGGGGTGCCACTTCTGTATCTTTTATCTTGAGGTCCAACCTCACATTCTTCTGTGGTGCCACTTTTTCCTTTCCCAGGGAATATGGTGGGTATAGCGTCATGGCTGAGGACGACTTTGCTGCCTTGGTAAATGTAGCAGTCACTTATGAAATGCTCTGAGCATAAGCAATGCTTTTCAATCTTTTTCCCTTCAAGGACCTCAATGGCAAATGTTTCGAGGTCTCCAAAGTCTTGTCTGGTCTGCAACAGCCACTGTTTTATTTTTTCAAGATTATTTGGGAATGCATGAAGGACAACAGTACGGCATTCGGGCTTCCTTCCAGTTTTATGAGGGCAATCTTTGACAATGCACTTAGGCATGTTCTGGCCCTAAAATTAAAGATAAGAGAAGGCTTAGATTATTCTAAAATAATTAAGATTTTTTTTATGATATGAGAGTTAAATCATTTAAAGAAATGTGTCAATGTTCCATCACCTTATTTAACTTCATCCTCTAGAGATTATACATTCTCACACCTTAAAGAACACTCAACCACCATAACCACTAAAGTATGTTTTTATGGTGCCAATAGTCCCATGGGTAATCTGAGTGTTTATGAACGGTTTAACACTTACCTGGCTCTGACAGCCATCCTTGGCCCTTCTAGTCTGCAAGCTATGCTAAAGCAGAACATGATACCTCTGCAGTAGCCTACCAGCATTGTTTATTGAATGAGAAAATCAGCTGGGAGGCTCACCCACTCATTATTTTTAAAATACTAATATGGATCTTTTCATTGTAGTTGTATATGTCTGGGTGTGCAGTTCCATACAGCTGCTTGCATGCAGAGCAAATGTGGGATGCCGACTATAACAAACCCCTTGTACTTCGTATAGTAAGTTCGTTTGCACTCTCACAAAATCCGTGAGAAATAAAGCGCTTTGTCGTTCGTATACCCAAACATCAGACAAGACTTGATAAAGGGTACAACAGGAATGTTTTATTATGGCCAGATGGCCCAATTTTATACACGGACCCCTAGTATGGGGTATCCAGCAGAAACATAGGTAAAACAAGCTCTGTGTCTGGGAGATAAATGAGTGTACTTTGCTTAAACTAATTATCTCCCAAGTACTAAAGGTACAGATAATAAAACATAAAGCACCCCAAAACATACACAATAGGCATGTGCATGGGCAGAAAATTCGGTTCGGCACTTCCAAAATTCAGGACTTCTGGAATTAAACTAACCCCTAACCCCAACCCTACAACGGTTAGGGTTAGGTTTGGGGTAGGAGTAGGGCTATACGGATCTGAGCGCCCAAAGTGTCCAATAGCGCTCAGATCCCACGAATACAGCCGAATCACCACCGGGGTAAAGTTTTGACTGACCACACACGTGGGGTCTACCCAAATTAGTTTCAGAAGAATAGTGGTAGCGGTCGGTCGGTTTTGCAAGTTCCTAATCGAACAAAATACCGAATGGTTCGCCTGGCTCATATGTAGCGATTGTTCATCTTGTTCAAGTGTACCTTTCCACTGAACAATGCTCTCCTGGCTTGTCAGGAACAGAGGCAGGCGGCAGTACAAATCCACTGGTGTTCGCGAGGTATAGTGTCCGGCTTGAAGTTCCAGACACTCGACGACCAAGTACCGCAGCCTGTTCTGGAGACAAGGTGGTGGACGTTTTCCAGCGCACGTGTCCTTCGCTTATACAAATGGCAGCCACCCAGAGAGAGCACTTAACCTTGTGGTTACTTTAAAGATAATGAGCCAGGGGGTGGTCTTCGTTCGGTAGACAAAAGTACCGAATAAAGGGAAATATAACTTGGGCTTAGGAGAATCATAGGGTTTCAGGGTAGTTTGTTACACTGACTATCATTGGGAAGGACAACTGGTGATCAATTCACTCTTCCATAACAAAAACCATTACTTTCTAATAAAGACATCACTGACCATCTCATGTTCACATGAATGATCCACAAACGTTCTATACAAAAAAGCTGCTTGGACATCTGAGTCACAAGAACGTTTTAGGCTTTGATGGGAAATGTTATGCTTAGAAATTACTGTTATTCTAACCATTGATCATGGTGAGGTGAGTGTGATGTTCTGGGGATGCTTTGCTGATTAAAAAACCTGGAAATCTTGCACGATATTATTTGGAGAACCTAGATAATGTCATCCCATCCATCTGTCAGCTGGACCAGCAAGACCTGAAAGGAGCTTTCCTTAGATGGATTCACTCTAATTCTACTTTAAGGCATTCTGAATGTAGAAACAGGTTATATTTTCAATCTTGGGTAGGCTTTTTACAGGGATATCTTACTTGAGGTCACCCCTGCTTAAAGTGCTACCACCTGGAACTGGCTCTAAAGGTTTAAAAAATGTGAATACTGCACATGGAATCAGTAACGAAGCACCTGGTGTGACTTTTCTTTGTTTAAGCAGGCCACTGTTATAGATTATGGCAATCTTCACTGAAGAGGCACAATGCAACATGTCTAAGTGCAGGTCCTCAATTTTATTCCTAACACATCAATTACTAAGAAGCAATAAACTATGCTCAATTCCATTGATAGAGCAGATAGAAACGACATACCCTTACTTTACTTTATACATAGCTACTTACGTCAAGTTCATGGTTAGTATCAAGGTTAATGTTCTTTTTAACGAATCCCAAAGGAGATACCTGAAATCACTCCAGTTTGCTATTATATAAACCTGCCATGCAAAAGTATTCACACCCTTAAATGAATACACATTTTGTTGCGTTACAGTCTGGATATAATATACCGTACATTTGTTTGGGACATTTTCCATTTGATTTATACACCATACTTAACACTTTAAGGGTGCAATTAGAGATCAACTATTATATTATTCATCAAGTGCTGATACCGATTGGTACCAATTTTGGGCCAATAACCGATAACTGGTACCGATATTCTTCACATCTCCCTGCTTTTTACCTGTGGCCAGGGAGGGGAACATTATACTCCTTGGTGATCCAGTGGCTTTGTGCAGACTGCCACAGGGCTTCACATTGAAGAGGGGCGAAAAGCTCTTTTCTTAAATTAGACTCAGCACCCTTTGTCAATCATCAGTAATAACATATTTGACAGCAATTACAGCTGTGAGTGTTCTGTGCTTCTGCCAATTTTTCATATTTAAAGTGTGTCCATTTATCTGCTAGAAATCTGTCAAGCTCTATCAGCTTGGATTGGACCAGTGTGTGGAAAGCGATTTTCAGGTCTTGCCAAAGATATTAATCGTACTGAACCCTGGGTTTTGACTAGGTCATCTAAAAACATTCAGGTTCTGCTTTTTCTTTTTTTTTTTTGATGTGCATGAGAGATATCAAGAGGACAAAAGACATTCGTAAATTATGCATGTCCGATATAGCTTAGGTATGTCTAGCAGTATGCACATTTTTTTTTTTCTTCAACGTTTAACAATTGTATACAAGGTTAACATGTTAGACATTCTGTAGACAAATATATAGGAGTCTTGAAACAAAGAGAAACATTGTCGTGTGTGTGATTCATGGAGTTTGAGTAGGTAACATGGGTCAGCTTATGTAATGGTGTTGGTTCCCAGTTTGGGTTGTGGTTTGTCAGTGTGGCCTGTGCGCATGGGCTGTTTCAGCGGTAGCTGATATGCGTGGTACCCCTAACCAACGGAGTTGCGGTGGGGGGGGAGGAGGGATGTGGCCCCATTGACTCTCTGGTGTTGTGTCCAGTGTGTTGGCTGGGGTGTGGTTTGCTCGTAGTCAGGATAGGGGTGTGAAAGCATAGAAAAAAAAAAAATAGTTAAATTATAGTAACTGTAAAGGTAATAGATAATTCTAGTAACTGCATTGCGTCCGAGTACGAGGTTTCCCTCGTGTATCAATGTCCTCTCCAGGTGGCTCGAGGCCAGAGCCTTCTAATGTGGGCTAGATTGTGTAGCCATAGGTGTCGGTGTGGGCTGTCACTGTACGGGTGGTGGTGTCCCTCTGGTGCGTGGGACAAAGGGGATGATGGTGGCCGGGTCTCTGGCACTCTCAGGAAGCGCACGATTATCGGTTGGAATGGGTAATTTTCTAATTTTCCCAGAAAAGAGGCTGCGTCGGCCATGGTGTGAAGGACATGCGTAGTTCCTTCTGTGGTGACCGTTAAAGAGTTGTCGGTTCCCCATCTGTATGGCAGTCCTGCCGTGCGTAGTTGGGAAGTTACCGGTGCTTAGGTTTTCCTCCATAGCAACGTTGCCTTAGTAAGGTCTTGGAAGAAGTTCAAGGTGTCATTTTCAAATGAAAGAGGGGTTTTGCCCTTCACAGCTGTCATGACATGTATTTTGTCTTGTACTGAGTGGAAGCGCAGGATGACATCCCAGTTCAGGTTGGTATTAGTGTTGGTTGTATTAGGGATGCGATATAGACTGTCCACTGTGATTTTGCGGGCTAGCGTGGGAGGTAATATAGATGTCAAGAGGCGTCGGGTGTAGTGGGGAAGTTTCTCCGCGGATATTGCCGTAGGGATACCCCTTATTTTGATGTTTGCGCGGCGTTGTCTATCCTCTAGTACTATGAGTTTTGCGTTCAGGGTAGTCTGGTGCGCTTGTAATTGGTGGATAGAGTCCTGCATGGTTTGCATGGCAGATTGTGTGTCTGCTATAACGCTCTCTGTGGCCTTGACTCTCTCTGTTACTGTAACGAGAATATACCCCAACACGCAGGATTCAGCTAAACAGAAGACAACACAGAGGAGAGATACGTCTACCGGACCTTAGAATGGCCGGACTCGACGTATATGAGAGGAGACAGAGTCAGGAACGATCCGAAATCAAGGGCACAGAGAGACAGCGTAAACTAGGACAAGCCGGGGTCTGGTACACAGTAAACAACAAGCCGACAACCAGAACAGAAGGATAAAGAGAAAACGTAGTCAGAAACAAAGCCAAGGTCAATACGGAGAAACACAACTGAACACAACAAGCGCTAAAGGGAACTGATACAGAAACCATGATAGGGCAGGGAGTAAAGGGAGAGGTAAGTTTAAATAGCTCCAAAACTAATGTGATTGGCTCCTGTCATATCCACACCCCCAAAAGGTAAGTGTATGGGGAGTGTGGTATGACAGGGGCCAATGGGAGCCTTTTGACAATTTAGGCTCCCACTGTCTCTTTAAGAGCGCGCCCGAGACTCGCGGCGCGCTCTTAGATTCAGGCGGGACACGTGACCGCTTCTCGCGGTCACTGCCCGCCTTGCTAGTGGAGCCGTCGGATGAGCCGCTCGCGGCTCGTGCAGCAGCAGGACCGCGCGCGGCTTGAAGAGAGGACCGCGGCCGGCCCCTGGAGAAGGTGAGTAACGCTACAGTTACGGCCTGTAGCTGTGTTGTAAATACAGCTAAATCTGCAGCCAGGAGCTTGTGGATATCAGCTAATAGGACCTTCAGGTCTCCCCTAGTTGTTGGGGCTGATTCATCCATAGGGTCCGCTTGTGCGGGTCTTACCTCCAGGGGGTGTTGTGGTACCTCCATCTCGTGGCGGTCCAGTTCTGGTTCTGTTTCCGGTTGGTCTCCGGCCTGAGTTTGTTTGGGCTTCTGGAGCATCGCCCCAATGTCCCTGGTATCCAACCCTGTGGCGGGTCTCTGTGATTTACGGCCCATGGTGAGTGTGTTGGGCGATGTTTGTGATGGGGTCGCCCTCGGCTGTTCCGCGAGGTCTCCGCCGAAGAGTGATGCGAGGCTGGGGATTTGGAGAGGGTGATAGGCCTCGGTTTTCCGTCGCTGCTTAGGCTGTTTTTGCGGCTGTAAGAAGGGCATCTACGCTTTCAGCTCGGGCAGCAGAGTCCGATTTCGTGCTTTTTAAGGCTGGATGGGCTCGTGTTCCGATGATATCGGGCAGATTTCAGGTTTGTTTGGAGGAGCTCCAGCAAATGGCGTCTGTCTCGGTCTGCGTGCTAGCCCCGCCCCCACACTGGGTTCCCCAGTGACTGCACAGCATCCGATCTCCTTCCTCCCTCCACTTCAATTGAATCCAGGTTCTGCTTTTTAACCCAATGCAGATTAGCTTTGGCAATATAGATAGGGTCAGTGTCCAGCTATGATATGAACCGTACATAGAGCTCCATCCACTGTGCTTTCAAACATCACCACTTCCTTACAATGAAAAGCATCCATATAGCATTATGCTGCCGCCACCACTGTGAAGAAAGTGCCCACAAGGTGCTCAGCATTGTTTAGATTTGTTTCACATGAAATAATGTTCTGATCTCATCAGAGCTGATAACGTTTTTCACTTTTCCAAAGGCTCTCCCATCATGCAGCAATCCATAGGAGTTTGATAGAAACTGGTTCTGCCATTGCTTTATTTTTACCACTCCCACCATCTTAGCTGTGGATCTGCGCATTAATCTCAGATTTAGCAGAGAGCGTCCATGCTGCTTCTCTGATTAATAGAAAAATAAATAAAAAGTCCAGGCGTATATATTGAGAAAATTACTTTCAGCTAAACCAAAACAATTCACTTTAACTCATTACTTGAAATACGTGGTAATAGGTATCAGAGTGGAAGTGATTAATGGGCTTCTTACCCGGTTGCCGATTTTTGGTGGACGGCCTTCTCTACGCAGATTCTCAGTTGTGCCGTACACTTTCCATTTTTTAATAATAGAATGAACGGTACTCCGGGGGATGTTCACAGTTCGGGATATTTTTTTATAACTCAACCCTGATTGATACTTCTGCATTACTAAATCCCGATCTTGTTTAGATAGCTCCTTGTTCTTCATGATGCTGTTGGTTTAGATATGCTCTCTAAAAATAAAATGAAAGATTGCACTAAAAACGTGGTCAATCCGAAATATATAAAGTGAATATTACATAATATTTAACAATTAGAAAAATTCATAAAAATGTCTACTTTAAAGGAACACTATAGGGTCAGGGACACAAACATGTATTTCTGACCCTATAGTGTTAAACCCATTTACGTGGCTTGCCCCCCACTTAGCCCCCTAAAAGCAAATAAAACTCACCTTATTTTCAGCGCCACGCGGGTTTGCCGGCACTGGTCCCCCCCCTTAATGACATCATCAGAATTGCTGTTTTTTAGTCAATCCAATGCTTTCCCCAGGGCCGAATGCCGTTTTGGCCAATCAGCACCTCCTCGTACAGATGCATTGAATCAATGCATCTCTATGAGGAAAATTCAGCATCCCCATGCAGTGCGTGGATACGCTGAATGGCAGTGCTGCCTACTGTGCAGCACTGCCCCAGGAAGCAACTCCATTAGCAATCTGAGGAGTGGCCACTTGGAGGTGTCCCTAGGGGCAATGTAAATACGTTAAAATGCCTTAAGGAAATGATTATACTCACCAGAACAACTACATTAAACCCTTTAATGATACTTTATCAATATGGATTATTTTGTGTAGACGAGTTATAACAATTTCTATTTAAATGTGATTGAAATGTTTAAATATGGAAAGGCAAAAGGATTCCTATTTGTAAAGTCATTAGCAACGTTTTCAATTTTACATATTTTCTATCAAATAACTATAGGGAAGTGAAGGATTAAAAAATACAAATGACAGTGCTGTGAAAACGTATTTTTCCCCGGTCTGATTTTCTGCAGTACTGCACATTCTTTATACTGAATGTTCTCTGATTGTTCTTACTTACAAATGAGTCTGAATGAATAAGTAAAACAATATGTTAATAAGTAGCAATCAAAAGTATTCAAACACGTCTGAGAATCAGGTCTATTTTCATAATTTACAGTCTTTCATCTGTTTGCAATGAACACAAAAAAAAGCAATTGAAATAGCTCAACACAACGAATGTTTCAAGTTGTTTCCCCAAATTCGAATGAAAATGCAAATTATAATGACTTCTTAAACAGCTGGAAGTCTGTAAATGCTGACAATAAACCTGATTTTCAATGGGGATTGAATAATTTTGATTAAAACTGTATGCCATTTATATATCAGAGAATGTTATGTAGCTCCCAATCCTCCTCATGAAAAAATAATTACGTTCTATAACTAGTAACACAAAGAAATTAAGGAAAAGGGCTATGCCAATAGTTAAAATGTACAATAGTTCGTCTGAATAGGTAGGGCTATATAACGTAGCTGGTCTCACTGATATGGTGGGACTACAGTTCTGATGGAGTAACTGAAGGTAAAGTCCGATAATACGGAGGTCTCACTCAGAAGTAAGCATCTTTATAAGGTGTCTGTTTTTGGGTGTAGAGTCCTCAATGTCCCTAGTGGTCCAACCGTTTTGTTTACATGGAAGACAAAAACGAGGAGACCCAATGGTGCAGTATATAAAAGCTAATATGGGTAAAATAAACAAATATGTGCAATCAACTCACATTTAAAAGAGCTATAGCCAGCTCTGGTGTGAAAGGCGTACAGCGCTATAATCCCCGCTTTAAAGGATATGTGATGGGAATCCTCTAGAGTGATGGTATCCAACACTCAGGAGAGGGATATGTAAAAGACAGCCAATAGTGCTTGTGAAGAAATGACTCCGTTAATCAGGATTTCTACCTTTTGTTGTACAGTTAATTCACCAAAACCCAGCTGGAATTCGGCATATAGCTTTCATTTCTACCCTTCGGATGGATTCAGGCGAATTCCCTGTGTAAAATATAGATGGCCGCCATTTCGGCACTTTACACGTGGCCGCGGCCATTTTACGTGCGAACAGCGGTGTTTGCCCGTCAACGCGTGGAACTAAAATCGGATACGCAAACAGGCGAACACCGCTGAGACCTCCATACATCCAGAACTTCGCACAGGAACGACCGAATCACCGGCCGTTCGGTAGTTACATGCAACTTCGTATGGGGATTTCAACGATCACAAAGATGCGAATGGATGGCAGGGTTTTCGTCTCTTTTATTCGCCTAAACGGAGACCGACCGCAGGGCCAAAACTTATGGAACTATTTTCGGCTAGATGGTCCGTGCGGTCGGTCAAAACTTTAGTGTTCCATAACTCCCGAACCATTCATCCGAATGGACTGATTTTTTGATATGTTGTCCCCACAAATGAGAACTATCCAGCGGTACCCAATTTAAAGGTGTACCCCCTGTTTTGGGGTACATCCAGAACTGGGGTAAAATAGTGCACGTTTTAATTAAGTTAACTGTTTATCAGAGGGGAGGGAGGTGTGGGCTGTAACCTATACCTGATTGGTGATTTAATGCCTCCCCCTGGGTGTGTACTTCTTGTCTGTAACCTTAATAAAAAGCAGGCTGGAGATTCCAGACCTCAGATCTACTTGTATCCTGATTCTGGACTCTGACTGTTATTTGGGAATTCGTATGCTTTACCAAGGGGATTATCTTGGGAAGCTGTTATATTTCTTATGGACTTCATTGCTTAGAACTACCTTAGACGCTGACATTGCAGGAGGAATTATCAAAGCGGTTCAGCTATACTTGATTTCCTTACAGTGCTCTCAGTAGAATAAAATATGCAGTAAACATAAAGAAAAATGTACTCACAAGTGAAGTGCAGGCAAACTGCACTGTGATGTCAGCATTGGTGGTATGATCCCCACCAGGTAAAAAATTCCAAATAACAAAGTGTACTAACTTTAATACACTTTTATATTTGGAATTTTTAACCTGGCTTCTTTTTACCTTTGTGTGACTCCAAGTATATCCAAGGTGGGGATCATACCACCAACAATGACATCACAGAGCAGTTTGCCTGCACTTCACTTGTGAGTACATTTTTCTTTATGTTCACTGGGGGATCTGGGTGAATCACATATCCAAAATTCACCCAGATCCGTTCAGTAGTTTGGAAGATACAGTTTAATGCAGATTCCGCAGAACATATACAGGCTAAATGAAAAACAATCACTGTATAATGTGTCCCCTGTTCTGTAGTTTAAAACTACTGCACAATGTCTTCGTGCACCAAATACCGGCGAGATGGCACCGTGTAGAAAAGTCAAAACAGTGTCTGTAAGTTAAAATGGCCGCCATCCATTGTTCTCACCATGTGCCTCTGATACAGGAAATGGTGGCCACCCAGTAACTCCACAGTCTGTCTGGTAGTCTATCCAGCCGAACCAACAGATGAAACTCATGGGGAACAGTGCAACAAACGAAGGAAATCATAAAAAATATGGACAATAGTCATTTTTGTGCACAATCTTCAGTTTTGTCACAGGGCACAAATAGTGTTTTGAAATGCCATATATCCCAGGGCCATAGTCAGAAGGTAGGAGGCGGGCAAGCAGCCCCCTCCAAGAACACGTGGCGAGGTCTGTTTCGCCATAGGCATTATCCCAGGGACACTGTCAGAGCAGTTTAAACTGGCTGCTTTGTCACTCCTCAATCTCCCATCAGCCATTGCTCTTGTCTGACCCCACCCTTGCTTATACTATAGTACTCTCTGCACCCTATTGTATGTAAATGAGGCTGTTGGGGGCTTAAAATATGTGTGCTATGTCTAGTAAAGTCAGTTGTTGTTTTAACCATGACCATGTGTTGTCTGGTGTTTGGGGAACTCTGCTGACGGAAAGTGTGATTTCATATATATATGTAGCCTGGTCCAGGGCTTGAGACACAGGATTCCAGGGGTTTGCTGTTGGGGTGTGTGGGTGTCACGGTGGGCCCCTGAGAGTGCGGTCATACGGAGATAGTTTTGAGTTTGGGAGGGGGCCATGGCAGATTTACCGGGAACTCCCTTTCTCCACTTCCAAGTCCCCTCTTATGTCTAAGTCTCCCTGTGCTTAGTAGGGGCACAGGGTGACAGGGAAAGCTCAGGCTGGCCTGCCCAAACCAGACTTCCACA